TTAGATTATTGGGTTTTGCTGGGGACCCTGATGAAGCTAAAGCCTCCATTGTGCAGCTACTTGAGCTTATCAGCAAGTCTCAAAGGAGTGGGGAGCAAGGCCGGAGTTGGAGAAAGAGGAAGAGGAAGAGGAAGAAAAATCAGAGGAGGAGTTTTGGAGTGAAATGGTGCAGTGGAATTGGAGAAAGAGAGAGGTAGAGCACGCAGAGGAGAGAGGGGAAGACAAGAAGGTTACACGTTAGCATTTTTGGTCAAAAAGCAATATTTAACAGTTAAAGGTTAGTAAAAATTAATAAAGGAAAAAAATTGCTCCATTTTTAACACTTTTGGGACAACATTGCTCTAATTAAAAGGTAAAGATATCCAGTATTTTTTTTTTTAAAAAACTTTTAGAACATTTTTTCCTTTAGCCCTATATATAAGAATAATTCAAAATTAGAAATACACTACTCACGGTTCAAAACTACATCATTCATGATGTAAAATTGTCAAAAACTATTCTACTGACAAATTAATTATTATTTACAATTTAAAATTAATCATTTTAAACCCTTCATAATTGAACTAAACTAATGATTCTTAAAAAAAATCTAAACTATTGACAATTGAACTAAACTATTTTTAAACTACCTTACTAAATAGTATAGTCCTGTGTTGCTCGTCACCCACGTGTCATATGTAAATCTGCTCCACTTTTCAAAGGCTTCACTAATGTGCAAATCCTTAAAAATTCATTATAATTAAAACTTATATTGAATGATACACAACATGGGAGGGGATTGCAGCTTGCTCGTGAATGATGATATTTTTAGCATATCTTATCACACAGTAGCCACAATAATGGCAGCGATCGAGTTATCGGGGGCATTACGTGAAGAAAACGATATATATACACATATGTTGTTGGTATAAAAAATAAAAAATAATTGAGCAATTGGTGATAAATATACATGTAATACATTCCATTCAATTGTATCTTTGTATTATTTGAACTTCCTCCCATAGAAAAGATTGGTTCTAATATAAGGAAGATAAAAATGTTTAATAAGCCACAATTTTCATTTAAAAGTACCAACTAGTTGTTATACTCTTAAACAAAAATTTGGTAGTATAACTATTTAAAATTGGGATACTTAAATTCATCCTTGTATATTATAATTTCAACCCAACTCAATCACCACTACCAACAACAACAATAACATCCATACTCTAAAAAAAAGAGAAAAAGATCAAAGAGGAAGCCACGGAAACAAAAGAAATGCACTAGGGTTTCATAATTAATTTTGCATTTTAGGGCACATTTTGATGGCTCTAATCACTAAATTATAAGCTTCTAGCTAAAATATAATTGGAGTGTCCAAAACATTTAATTGCATAGCAAGAAGTTCTGTGATTGCAATAAAAAATTAAATAACCTCATAAATACTAGTTTAAATAAAAGAAAATATAACAACTCATTTTACCTAAAAATAAGATAATATTATTCAAGCAAGCATCAAAATAAGCTAATCGATGCACTTTTTGGAGCAACAATTCAAGCAACTTTTAATCTATACAACTCAACCAAGCATTAAAATAAGTACGCATTTTATCATTATATAAATTAGAGTCACAATTTAACTATAAAACTACAAGAAATTTTCTATTTCCTTATCCCTCTTTCTTTTTTAGACATTTTATCAAACATCTCATATGCATAATGTTCAAACAATAAATCTAAACTCTATTTCTTCTAAATCTCATCCCAACACTTAATTTGAACTCACAATGGCATAGAGAATGTACAAAGACAAATAAAAACAAACAAACAAACAAGAGACAAAGAAAGAGCTTACAATTGATTTGAAGTTGGAGTGCCTAAACTACTGTCTATTGAAGTTGAAGACACTTTTGCCGAATGCAACACAATCTGGTTTTAAGTTTTAGGTTTTTGTCAAGTAAAATGGTTTGGCTAGGGGAGTTGAGGTTCTAAGCTTGTAGAAAGGAAGAAGATGTTGCATGCAAGAGGAGAATATAATTCTGTTTGAAAATTGAAAGGGGCTAGGGATTTTAGTTTTAAAGAGTTATATAGGACGGTTTTATAAGCTAATCATCCTATAAGTGAAGCGCATCAAGGGCGGTTCGCAAAAACAACTGTCATCTATGTTTTTATATTTTAAAAAAAGTAATTTTTTTTTTAAATTCCAAAACGTGCATAGGACAGTTGCACAGTAAACCGTCTTATATTATTTACATATAGGACAGATCCTATTGCAATTGTCCTGTAGATGTTCTTATGTTCCTCACACGCCTTTCTCTGCCTTTTAACATAAGACAGTTGTTAATATAACCATCCTATATGAGATGTCCTATGTTAATAATTTAAAAAAATTAATATTTTAATTCTTTAACTTTTAACTCACATATAATTTAGTCTTTTAATTATGATTTACAGTGATTTAGTCTCTCAACCATAATTTATTGTCATCCAATCTCTCAACTTTTAACTTACTTATAACTAAGTCCTTATTTTTTAATTTTTTTTTTAAAAATTGTCCTTATCAACTAATATGGATGAAAGAAATACCCATATATTGCTCTAAAGTATAATCATCTTATTATTTGATGTGAGATTTAAACTAATATAAAAAAAAATTGACAAAAGTTAAAAGATTGAGTTATAAGTGAGTCAAAAGTTAGAGGAATTAAGTTATATTTAAAGGATTGAATCACAGTAACTTATAGTTGAAGGAATAAATCAAAAGCGAGTTAAAAGTTAAAAAATTAAAGAATTAATTTTTTTTAATAATTCTGTAGTAGTGCTGTATCAAGTCAGATACTTACATCAAAACTAATTATTTTGTCATATACATGTTTCCGGCTGAACATTCTAAAAAGTATAACATTTCACATGGTGAGCTGCTTACCATATAGAAAGACAGCAAGAAGATAGACGTCAAAAAGGAGTTTCGGACGGGAAGCCATAAAAGAACAAGGATCGTAAGTGCCGTGGACCTGAGCTCATTCTAGGTTGTATAAACCGACAAATCAGACAGGGTTATCTATCCAACTTATCATCTCAGTCATAAATCTGAATGCCAACACAGATAAATTAAAAATAACTAAAAATACTCATATAATCTGAAAAATAATAAAGAGCTCTTAAAAAAATTAATTAATTTAAATTAAATTTTAAGTGTTAAATTTTAAAAATTTACAAATTTATCTCTTAATTGTGCAATTGCATTATAATGAATTTATAACTTATTTTTTAAATTTTAACACGATTGAAGAACAAAATTATTTTCTCATTAAAATTTAAAATATAAGTTATAAATTCATTATAATATAGTTAAAAAAATTAATAAATTGAATTGTAAATTTATAATCTTTAACACTTGAAACTCAATTTAAATTAATTAATTTTTTAAGATCTCTTTGTCATTCTTCTCGTATAATTTTGTCCTATCCATTCTCATCCATCTCTACATATCTTACTTTACACGCTTCAATTTATTAGGGACCATCCCAATTCTCAGATATGCATTTTCACAATTCAACACAATGGACATTACTTATAATGAATAAATATCTTCACTATTAATTACTCTCCCCTTGCAAATTGCCTATTGTCGTATTGCATATTACATAATAATGGTATATCTGATCTTTTTCTTTTTTTTAATGCAGGCATATTTGATCCTTTATTTGGGAAGATAACATTCATCGAACTTCCGAGGACTGGAATTCGATAACACTGATAATTAAAAATTTCCAATCAAATCAAGATATATGAAATGTTTTATATTATTTATTTTATAAAATATTTTTATAATTAATATTATTAATACTTTAAAATTTCTGCTCTTATTTAATTGAATAAAAATATATTAAGTATATAAATCAATTATTAAATCCTCCCCTGACATTTTTTCTACACAATAAGAAAGCATGTATAATTATATTTTTGTTGAAGGGGAAATATCTTGATAGTAATATTTTTATACAACTATATGCTATATATCCGTATATACTACCAAATGAGATTCAATGATAGTGTTACTTAATTAGCTGCAATTTAGGATGTTCTTCCAAGATGATTTTTCACATTCCTAAAGTCCAATTCAATATTCTTCATTTGTTTAAGAAAACCCAAGACCGAACTGACCATTTCTGGTATTAAAAAAAGGGAAAAATAAACTATTTGGTTCTTATATTTTTGACTCAATTGTAACTTAATCCTTAAATATTAACGTGCTGTAACTCGATCTTTATAATTTTGACTTGGTTGTAATCTAATTCCTGAACTTTAACTCATTACAACTTAATCCCTATAGTTTTAACTATTTAAAATATTGATCATTATATGTTCAAAATGAAATTTTAAAAATTAAAATTATGTTGACATTTAGGAACAAATTTTAAATTACCAAAAATTTTAATTTGATAAAGATTATAAAGATTTAATCTTTCTAATTTTATTTTTTAATATATAGATATTAATATTTTACACGGTAAAAACTATAGGAATTAAATTACATTTAGTTAAAGTTTAACGATTGAGTTATAATTAAATTAAAACTTTAAGAACTGTGTTATAATAAGTTAAAATTTAAAAATTAAGTTACAATTGAATTAAAATTATAAAAATTAAATGACTAATTTTCTCAAAAAGGAAAAAGATAATAGTATTAATGCTTCCAAGAATAATTTGAACTCTTAGAATTATATTTTTCAACATGTAAGCATCTTGAATTTGTAAAAGCTTATATTACTTAATTTAAAAAGTGAATCTCAATGTACCGTAGCAACATAAATTTGATAACGTTGGCTTCTTTAATGTACCTTTTTCTCCTTTATTTCTTTTTCATTGTGATCATTTACTGTATGTTATTTTAAAAGACAAAAAATAGGACAGGAACATTTTTTGTAGTTCTCACTAACTAGTAAATTTAGAAAAACAAAAGAAGAAATTGAGGGCTAGCTTTGAAGAATACATGAATGATTAGATTTTCCAGCCTGGCAGGCCCAAAAGGTAGATTCATAGAGATATTTGAAGTCCAGACAAATCTCCATCAGAGTTGATGTGAAGTGTGTGCTATTGTTTTTATTTAAAGAACTTTATTCTCACCAAAAGATGATATGTTACTGAGGCCCAAAAATTCAGGGAAAAAAAATCCGAAATCTGATATTACATATCTGATGACGAAAAAACTGAGAGCAGAGAGTGATATGATAAGATCAAGCGAAGTACTAGGAAACAATTGCCCAGTGATTTTGATGACGAGGATTACAAGGCTTAGACTTTAGTCTCTGCATTTGAAGGTCTTTGAGAATGAGACGAGTCTCCAGGCGGCGAGACTCATTCCAACAAGACGATACCATCTTCTTCCTTGAGCTGTCTAACTCTTTCATTTCGTCCATCACGATCTGCCTGTTCCTGCACTCTACACTGCAGAATCCTTCATCTCCTCTGCACAATTTACATCAAAATTAAAACTTTCCCAGAAACCAAAGGAAACCCAGATTTTCATGCGCAAATTTAAAACTACCCATGGAAGGGAAGAAAATCAAAATTCAAAACTTTACATATAACTTCCCAGCCAAAAAGGAGATAAGAGATGGCACACATTCTTAAAAGGGTTTAAATGGTGTTTCTCTTTCACATTTTGACAATTAAATATCTCAGATGCATAAAAATGTAGAGTTTTATCAGAAACCAAAGTATCCCCAGAATTTTAGAAGTAAAATTTAGAGAGCCCATGATGATTGTGAGATTGAGGGTACTAATGGGGTCACTGTTTAATACCTGTACATGTAGATATCTTTGTCTGGACTGAGCTTCTTATTGCAGAGGTTACAAGTTTTAAGGTAGCAAAAGTCCTGATCTAAATTAGGCCTGGTCTGGTCTCCCTTTCTAACGGCAGATTTCAGAAGGACATTGGATTTGCTGTTATTAGGGATGGAAATCTGAGGAAGAAGCCTCAGACCAACATTCATGGAGCTCTCTGCACAACTGGACTTACTGAACTCTGGAAGCACCATGACCAAACCAGGAAGAGAAAGATGATGGAGGTATGATTCAGATTTCAGGGGGGAGGGGAGGGGAGAGAGAGAGAAGACTGATGAGGTCTGAGAATGGAAGAAGTGGTGGGCTTTTAAAGGGAGAAGAGGATGCTTTTATCCAGAGAAAATATCTTAAATAAAGAGAGACTCAGATGCAAAGTAAAATAGTATCCTCTGAAAGTAGGTGGGTCAGATTTGATATTGATAGTTCTATTAATTTTTATGAAGTAGCTGCTTGTGATGGAGTTTTTTGCGACAACAAAGGAAATTGAATTATAAAATTTTTTAAATATCTTGACTATTAATCTAATACAACGGCTGAATTATCAGGCATTTTAGAAGATCTTTAATTTGTTAGGAATGCTAAACTTATTAAGATCAACTTACACATTCATGCTATGGAAGTCCTCTCTCTTATCCATCACAACTTCTCTGATAATTATCTTTTAACGTCAAACATCAAGAAAATCAAAAAATTTGTTATGAAAGACTGATCAGTCACCTTTAATCATGACTCTAAAAAAGTAAACAAATGTGTTGATCTACTTACATGTCAAATCTCTCATAAAAATTGTGATCTCATTATTTATAATGAACTACTTATAGTTTGTAGGTCTATTCTGAATTTTGATTTGACCTGGCTTCATAATCATCTTTCGGCCGTCTCCTTACATTAAAAAAAAAAAAAGGGAGAAGAGGATAAAAACAACGCAGGTGGACTTCATCTTGTGCTGCATGTATATTTAACTCCGATGCATTTGATTTATGATTACAACACGTGCCACAATTACTTAGTTTTATAAATATTATATTTACCGCCTGAGACACTGACGGGGCTGTAATGTGTACAGCATGTGCATGCTTTTGTCATGGTCGAAAACAAAATAATATATAGTAATAGAGTAAACGAAGAGCAGACTGAAAACACCTACGTTAAGTGACGCATCTTTCAAATTTCAACTGGTGTGGTCCACTGGGGAGCGTCAAAAGCACAGCATCTCCTTTGTCGGTTTCTGATATGCACACGTGTTAATCATGCCATAAAAGCGATGACAGATGACCTGTTTGTGAATCAGTTTTTTTTTTTTCCGTACGGATTCCACTCCGTGTCTCCGCCTGCATATAATGGGCTTTCAAGCCTCTATAAACATTGTCCAAAAACAAAAAACCTGTAAACAGTAAAAAAAGATTACTCAAATGCTGTGCCATAGAAATATTTACATAAATACCATGCCAGAAATCATTCAGACGGAGAATGAGTTTACATTTGTAAATAACTTGTTCACACCAAGAATAACTTTACAATCAAAAATTTTTTTTAATGAAAAGTGAAATTATTTAATTAGTGAATACGTTCAATTTTTTTAACTGACAAGACATAATATTTTCTATTCTACTTTCTCTCAACCTACTCTATGAGAGTTGAATTGCTTCGTTCAAAATTTTTTTGAAATAGACTGAGCAAGCAACATTGTGGTTACTTGTCTATCCAACCACCAATTAAAAATGAAAATGTAGGAAAATAAAAATTTCAAGATTTTGGTTAATTTCATTACATGGCAACATCAATAATATTATCACATATTTTCACCTCTTCTAATCATACTCAATCCAAGTCTCATTACGCAAAAGCATAATAAGAATATAGGGGAATAATTGAAAATGAGTCCCACTTCATCTCACCCAATCTTACTTGTTTACAAATCGCCAATTGAAAATAAAAATTTAGGAAAATGAAAGTCTTAAGATTTTAGTTAATCTCACGGTAGCCGCATCATTATCATCACCCCTTTTCTCACTACTCTTAATTCTACTTAATTTAAGTCTCATTACATGTTACCCTTATCAACATCACTGTTCAACTCACACACTCCCACTCAATTTTGATAGTTCATGTCTTTACTTGACAATTCTGCCCTATTTTTAGCTAAATACAACACTTTTACTTTTGAAATTTTGATACTCTTATTTCTTTACATTTTCATTTTTAATTAGTGATGAGGTAAATAGGTGGTTGCCACATCACTTACTCGACTTATCTCAATGAATTTGTGAATAAGGCAATTTGACTCTTGGCGGAGTATGCTAAGAGAAAGTATAATAAGAAATATTATGTCTTGTCACTCAAAAAAAGTTAAACTCAATCCCTAAGCGAATGATTTAATTTTTCATTTTTTAAAATATTTTTTACTGCAAAATTGTTCTTGGTCTGAACAAGTTTTTTTGCAAATACAAACTCGTTCCCAATTTGAACAACTTATAGTATAATATTTGAATAAATATTTTTCACGATGCAGCATTTGATTAATTTTTTTATCACTTATAGTATCCAAGTAAAAAAGCCCATATAATGCATTCAAACAACTTTTTTATCAATATGCTACGAACAATAAAAAAAAATCTAAATACTATATTTTAGAAAATATTTATCTAAGTACAATACTAGAAATTGTTCATATTATAAAGTAGTTTATACTTGTGAAAAACTTGTTCATATCAAGAATAATTTTGTAGTCAAAAATTAATTTTTTTAATGAAAAAGTGAATCATTTACTTGGTGAACAAATTCAACTTTTTTAACTCATAAGACATAATTTTCATTGCAAACCTCTTGCAAGAATTTCCGGTTTTTCCTTTATAATGACTTTTGTCATTATCAAATACTAAACCCAACTAAAACGAACAACCATCTCAATAAAGATCAACCATAACCAGAGTTATGTCAAGGTTTTTAAAACTATTTCAAAAGATTGAGATTTTAAGAGTCCTTTGAAAATAATTAATAAAAACAATGCTCTTAAAATAACTTAAAAATCAGAGTATAGGAGTATGTGGAAACATGGGAAAATAATTCTTGCATTTCAAATATATTCAATCAGGGATGAAAACAACATTTAAAAAATATGGATACATCTATCACCGCTTATAGTACATCCGCCATGACCAACTCCATAAGAATTAATCCATCACGGCTTAGGCATTTTCCGCCATGGCTTGTGATACAACAACCACCCATAAATAATAAATGGCCAATAGCCTTCTTGATTGCAGCCAACTCTAAGTGACACATCCGTCAAGGAACGTAGAACAACAACAGCGGCGCGCAATGTATGAGAAAGACAATAAAATATGATACTGGAAGTTATATTTGTGAGGTAAATTAATTTTTAGTTTTCATTCATAAAAATTAATTATTTATTACTAATTTTCATAAAACCTAATAGTTATTTATTTATTATGAATGATTTTTAATTTAATACACCTTATAATAATTTCTTGATCATATTAGTAACATTACGTAATTATTGACACGTTCTTCTCCAATTATTTACTCATTATTTTTTATTTAAATGATTACTAAATCATTCATTTCATTTATCAAGGGCAGAGGATGCACTGGGGATGAAGTTTATGAATGGTCCATGTCAAGAATAATTTTTGTTTCACTTTTGTTAGCTTTTGGAGTATATATTGAAGAAATCGTTCATGGTATCATTAATTTTATAAATTGCTCAATATAAAAAGCAATTTTTGATGTAGTATTTTGGAATATAATTCCCACGATATATCATTTTGGTTTTTTGTTATTGCTAGTTATAATAACTCTGTAAAAAAAAACCCCATTCAACCAGAGACAGCCGTGCAATGTATTGGAGGGATGGAAGAGAACCACGTAGCAAAGGGAATCGTGAGAGATTTTGTTGTGCCTCATGCCTCTGAATCGACTTAGGTCCTCATCAGGGTGATGTGTTCTTGACCTAAGATTTAAAGTATTATTTTATTTTATATTTATTAAAATTAATTCTTATTTTTAACCTGGTGTAGATTTAATTTAAAGGATTTAATTTAATATTATACTCTTTATAGCAATTAAAAAAATTTAATATTAAATTGAACCCTCTAAATTAAATCTATACTAGATTAAAAGTAAAATGATTTATTAAAATTATTTTATAATAATACTTTAAATTTAGATTATCTAGATTTTGATTTAAATGAACCAAATTACATCACAATGATGTTGATGAGCAACATAGACAAACCCCATGCCTCTCCTGACCACCTTGCTTCTAGGCTTAACATTCATCATGTTGCGGTATTAAAAATCGAGTTCACCCTATTAAATGAGAAGATTATTGAATGAGTATCTCGACCAATTTTGTAAAAAGATTTATTTATGATTATTTTGATTATGATTTGATTATAGTTTTAATCATCTTATTCTTAAATCATACAGTATCTTCACTGGTTCGATATCCAGTACTAGGCTTTTATTTCACAATTTTTTAGCATGTTTGACACCTAAGTGATTCTAAATGCTGGAATTTTTAATAAACTTTATTGTGAAAATAAAATTAGTTAACTATTAAAACATTTATATATATGGGGTGTGAGATTATCGGGTTAGTCACTTAATTAGCCGTTTGGTTATTATGCCTGGTTATCCAGCAACGCACTTATATGTGCATTCACCTAAGAGAAAGGAAAAATGACAACAAAGGACCCCCATTAATTACAATTAGGGATCCTGAATTATTGAAATTTTAATGATAAATTGTGGTTCTTATTTTGAATTAAAAACACATAAGTTTAAAATTAAGAAAAGACATTACTAAAATTATTATTATTATTATTATGGGTTAGGACTATTGTTAATTTTAGTTGAGAAAACTATAAACTATATTTGAGAATGAGTTATTTTACAATATGAAACTAAAATTCACTTGTTAAATCTTCAAAAAACACTTATGAATATACAATAATTACTTAAAAATTTATTAAAATCACTTTTGACTGTGAGTCCATCACTTCTGAATTTTTTAAAACTGCTTGAATTTTTTTGTAAAGACATTACTAAAATTATTATCATGAATTGAAACTATTGCCAATCTCAGTAAAAAATCAAGATTCCAAGTGTTATGCTTTGGGACTACTAAAATTATTATCTTGGGTTGAGATTATTCTCAATCCATTTTCAAGAGTGAATTTTTGTTTTTTTAATTGAGATTAATAATAGACCCAACCAATAATAATAATTTGAAGAGTGTCTTTTTTTTGTTTTAAACTCATAAGTACATTTTAATTTCAATTAAAGATCATGATTCATTATTAAAATTTTAATAATTCAAGATCTCTAATTATAATTAATGATCTTATACCATAATTGTCATTTTCTTAAAAAAAAATAAATAAACGTACTTACATGTGTGTGTATACATTGCCAAACTAGCACTAAAATAAGTTTTTGTGGAGCATGATGTCATAATTGTAGTTTCATGTATAAATAAATGATCTATTTGGCCACCTGATAAATGCGAGCCATCTCCAACATTCCAGCATATGTGATTTACCAAAAAAAAAAAATTTTAAAAATCGATTTGAGGTCAAGTTTTGTCCCAACAACATCTGTACAATACTAACTTTTTTCGATGTATTTGATAAAAGTTTAACCTATAATTAATCATAAGTGCAAATCTCGTCACCAATGTGAATATTTTGTTGGTGAATAATTTGTAATATATTCATGACAAACTGCAAAATTCATCTCATTTAAACCTTTACATGCCAAGATACAAAAAAATAATATATATACGTACATCTACACCTACCCAGTATATATACTTGTTTTTGTGGTTCAATGCTCACAATCAGCCTGAGTCTTTCACTCTTTTGCTAGACTTTAACATGATCATTTTTATTTAACACTCTATTTTTCTCATTTCATTTATGCATATAAACCGATTTATACTTTGTTGTGTATGGTAATCTAAATAATATAATTAATTGTTTTTTATCTTCTTTGGATATATCTATTGGTCGGACTTATATTTAGTAAGTAACTAGAAAATGGCCCTAACAATGCATGTGATTAGGGAGAAATTTACTTTTTTTTTTTTAAATTTGTCTTTGGACATTATTTCATTGGAATATATATCTTGACGTGAAATTCTGACTTAATAAAATGTGAGACCCATTTTGTATTCAATTCAATATATTATCTGTTTTTAGTGGGCCATGACACATTATATTTGTTTTAATATCTTTCTTTAGAAAATTTCACCTGTCTTACATTACATAAAATATGATTATGGTAATTGAATAAAAATAGTAGGTCCTATAAAAAATATGTTAACATGATATTATAAAAATATAATAAAAATTTTTTATTAATGCTTTAATTTTTTAAGACAAAGTGAAAAATAGGATGAACATAAAAAATGTGAAAACAAATTACATCTTGAAAAAAAGGGCCACTAATAAGATTTATTATCCGCAGGACAAACTTATTTTAATAACAACTTGTTATTTTTTTGTGAATGGGAGTTGAGTGTAGTATAGTGACCAATTAAGATTCAAATCCTTATTGAGGAGCTGCCCACACTTAGTACTTAATCATGTTTTGAATAGGAATTTTCTTTTCAATAGAAAAATGCTTTTAAATAATTAAAAAATTGTTATTTTTTTACAATATTTTTTTGACATTTGTGCATATTAAAAATATAGACATCTGATTTTATTCGTGAACTTATTACCTGTGAAAAATTTAAAATATAATTTGAAAATCATATAAATATAAAAATGTTAATATAATGTCATGGAAATATAATTTAAAAATAATTTTTAAATATCAGTAGCCACGATTAAACATGTATTGATTTTTTTAAAAAAAAAGATAAGTATAACAAAAGATAATTGAGAAAAACAATTGAATATTTTTTTTTTTGACCAGTAAACAATTGAATATTTTTATAAAAAGACAATAATGAGTTCCATGGGAATGTTAATTTCACTTTTCCATAAACAATGGAACAGTGAATTTTTATGTTTTATTATATATAAGATTTTATCAAATGCTTGTGCCAAGCAGGGTTTTAACTGTCTATTAGTCACTAAAGAGAAAGTCCTTCAGACACGAATTTGATAAAGATGAACCATCTTTCTACAAAAATTATTTGATTCATGAGTACATATTATATAGACATGAGAATTTTCTTCATAAATATTTTTTTTTACCAATGTTTCATTTTTTTACGGATATAATAAATCATCACATGACAGTTTCATTAAATACATGAATCTCGAAGATTACTCAGTCAAAAATACTGCATGCATGCGATCATGCAAATTGCAAATACCCCACAGGTTTAATGCATCATTTTGCATTAAATTATCCTGTCTTCGACATTTTTTGGGTAGATCACATGTTTTCTACTTATTACCAAACATATATAATGGACGATAAAAAGAGAGAACCCCGACCAAAGTAGTCATATATGATCATTTAATACACATGTGTAATATAATATAATATTCCCTCCAATAAGCTCCAATTAATTACTTTGCATAAATTAATTAAAACTAGTTTAAATTAATCATTAATTATTTATTGTAAAATCTTTAAATTACCTTTGATTTAAATTTTCTAGTTAGAGAGGAGATTGGTTAATCAGTTTAGAATTTTTTTTTTTTGTTTACCCATGAGGAATCATTTTAGAAGTTTTGTAATAAGTTAGGGATACTATGTGGAGAAAAAAATTAATACTTTAGATAAAACATATTATATTATGAAACACCACAATATTTTAAAGCTATAGTAACAAATAACTTTGCAACAATCAAGATAAGTGTTGTCTAAGGTTAGAATAGGCACTATTTTGTTTTAACTGTAAATTTTTTTTGGCCAACACTTTATTGTGCAACAAATATTAATTAAGTAACATATTCAATTGGTATTTATTAAACCCATTACCTACATATAATTAGACTATAAGCAAAAATATATGAAATGGAATATGCATGAGCTTTTATAATAAGGGATGGATGTTGTACAACATGATATAATATATATTATATTATTTTTCAGTTTTCTTTGTAATAGAACAATACTCCATAAGGTATCATTTATGAGTTATTTTTTATATTTTTACTAGAAATAAAAAATTGTAAAACTCATTAATTCTGTGTAAAAGTTAAATAAGTTTTCTACTTTGCCATACTAAATACTAAGACTTATACATCCTTAAAAAATTTTATTTTCTACATCAACATGAATAAGAGTTAAAAATATAGTAAAAAACAATGAATATGTTGGTTTATAAATCAATATGTTTTTCTGTTCCGGAGGGGCCATAGCTGAATGGAAAACGTGCGACGGTGCATTTCTCTTCTAGCCGTTTCCACTTTAATATTAAACATGGGAGACTAATTTAATATTAAACAAGGACCATGGAAGCATTTTAATATTAAACAAGGATAAACAATTTTAAAATATCAATATAGGATCAGAAGATTAATTTAAAAATAATTTTAGATAGAAAAATACTATAATACTTTTACTTTACTTTTTTTTTTTACTTGTCAAATAATGAATAGTTTTTTATGAAATGTGAATGAATATTTTTTAACTAACGAATGACTATTTGTTAATTTTAAATTAATCTCTTGATCCTACAGTGATATTTTAAAATATTTTAATTCTTCATTAATATTAAATACTCTTAATAGTCCTTGAATAATATTATTCTTGTCAAAAAATTGGAGGGAGTATTTGTCTCCATTACTCTAAGAAATACTTAGGTAGACTGATTGTATCATGTCATTTGTAGTTTGTCCAATTGAAATGCTTTAATTAATCTAAATAAAATTTTGTTTGACATTTTTAAGTTGATTTTATTTTTATAAAATAATGCACATTTGATTTCTTACATTTTCTTTTTATACTATCATTAATATTGTAATCAATTTATATTTAATGCTATTTAAATGTTATATTTTTATTGAATGGATTATAAATAACATGACACATTTAGTCTATCTTATAATTTCTCCCATTCTTATGCATGACTCACATTTAATTAATCCATATAAATTAAAAAAGTTAGTTAAAATCAAGTTCCAACTAGATTTTACTCATCTTCCTTAATCCCTCCCCGTCATAATTACTCAATAATATCAATGTCAAGGGCATTTTGAGGCAAATATTTATTGATGCGTAGATTTTGTAAAATGACCTAAAAATAGGGACATAAACAAAAGTTATAAAAAGTGTTTTATAGATAAAAATGGGGAGAGTATAAATGACTTCCACGTATATATAGAACTCCCTGTCTCAGAAATGGAAGCTTAATTGGCCCCATATCACATGCTGAATTTATCAGGAAAATTTAAATCTTAAATATAAACAAATCTCAATCTTGAAAGAGAGATGTGATAAAGTGAAAAACTGAAAATAGGGCGATGAAACTTCCGCATGAAATAACAGTCTAGTCTCAAGTTTTATTCGCGTGCAAATCCCGAGTCATCAGTTGACATTGGAATCGAACTAGTGAAACAATCCGATTCAAAACAAAAAGCCTGATCAACCAAAATAAAAAAAACAAAAAGATATTGAGAAAGATGAATAGATATGAATGTGACGGCGATGTAAAGATTCATCCTGTGTTGGGCTCAATTGAGCCCGAAAAACATCAATCAATGAAAAACTTAATAAAATACAAAAAAATTCTACTACGACGACGCGTTTAGAGTGCAGAGGAGCTGAGGAAGATGTGCCTTTTGTTTTGTTCATCTTCTTCCTTTTTCTCCGATCCTGTTCTTCCTCCATCCTGTTAGTTAGGGTTTGCAGAGTTGCAATTTCCCTTTGAGTTGTGCACGCTCACTGTTCCCACTTCCCAATATCAGGCCCCTATGATGAGATGCTCCGTTGTTTAGACTGGTATTTGATTTGTTTCGACGGGACATTGGAATCTTGAAGTACTTCCGTATTCTGTGGTTTGGGTAATTCGCCAAATCGAAGATTGCAACCGTCTGGCTTTTGTTCCTCTGGTGGCTGGTGCTGCTGCTTGAATGATGTTTCACCCTGGAGGAATTCCTAAACAAACTTGTAGTCTACTTGCTGTCACATGTGGCAAAAGCGTTGAGCATGAGTTCGAGAAGAAACCCACTAAGAATCAGCTCAAATATCCTTTTCCCGAGTTAACTTCTTCAGGGCGTCTGGAGGTGCCAAATTTCTCTATCTCCTTTCAATTATGGGTTACAAATTTATGTTTTGCATTAGTTTTGGTTGTTTCTTTAACATATGGTTAGCCTTTAATGCAGATTCAAACTCTAAAAAATCCAGAAAAAGAACAGTTTCGAAAAGTTCTCGAGTCTTATCAACCAAATTTTGTATATTTGCAAGGAGAACAGCTTGCTAATGGTGAAGTTGGTTCTTTGGTCTGGCAAGGCGAAGAATTGGCCACCTCTGAAGCTATATTAGAGCTCTTTGATCCCACATTGCCAACAGCTGTATGTATTCTCAAATTAAAACCAAGTAAATTCTTTGTTCTTTTCATGTAATTCTTGCCGACTGGGCATGGGTTTGGACTTTGGACATATGATGAAAAGCAAAAGGGGGAGCATGTAAAATTGCTATTTTATATATTGCAAATTGTTAACATGCCAATGCGAACTTCTCAATCTTCTATGTCAAATGGGAGTATTAATTACCATAGCTTGTGGTCAAAAGGAAGAAACAATAGGAATTTCATTGTCACAGAATATGAAGATCATAGGAAACCTTAGATTACCTTGATCAGTTGTCCTGCATAGTAATTTGTAATAATGTGAAAATTGAACCATGGAAGAAACTAGGAAAGGTTGGTGGTGGAATGAATTATTAGATGATAAATTTAGGGAAACTATGGTTAGAAGATTTTGTGATCTTTAGACATATTGCTCAAGATACTAGCTCATGTTGATGGCATTGTCATGGTCTAATGTTGCCCCCTTACTTCTTCACTGTTTAAATGTATATAATCTATTCTTTTATGTAAAGTAATAATGCTATTATAAAAGGACGTCCTTGAACTGGCAAAGCTGGTGGTATTCAAATTGATGTATTTTTTTGCCCAAAAAAAAAAAAAAAATTCTGCAGGTGTACTTGGAAATCCCAAATGGGGAAAAATTGGCAGAAGCTCTTCATCTTAAGGTACTTATGTTGCTGGGCAGCAATGCCAACAACTTCCAAAACTAATATCATTTGATGGTTAAACTACTTGGGTTTTGCGGTTTTTGGAATCCCTTGCATTTTGAGAATTTCAGGGGGAAAGAAAATTCATTTTGGACATTGATCTTGCAGGGAGTTGCATATGTGATTTATTGGAAAAATGCTTTTTCTTGTTATGCTGCTTGCCATTTTCGTCAAGCATTTCTTTCAGTGGTGCAGAGGTATGTTACCATTTATCAAGTAAGCAAGTATTTGGTTGGTTCCATTTTCAATGACTATATATGACAAAGTCTTATGTCACTACAATGGATGCTTGTGGGAATTGATCAATTGATAGGCACAGACTTCGAGAACACATATACATATTTGATGGTGCTTTCATTTAGCTATCCATCTATAAAAGGAATATTTAACTCTCGAATATGTGGAGTGTAAACTTCTGCATTCAGTGTTTGCTGACATTCAATGCATACATATTTAGTTTTACATGTTTAATATATCAGTTGTTTTGATTGTATCATGGAATGGTCAGAACTTGTGAAGATGTTAATTATTTCTGTGTCTGAGAAGGCAAAGCAAGAAGTCTAGTTGGCTTCATATATGCATGCATGCGTGTATTTATGTTTGTGTGTGCGCATTCCACTTTTCACCTGACATGAGTGGGTTTGTTAAGAAATTTAAGACTTGACTTATATTTCATGTTTTTAATGACATAATTGCAGCTCTTCTACGCATACGTGGGATGCCTTTCATCTTGCCCGTGCTTCTTTTGAGTTTTACTGTGTTCAAAACAATCAAGTCCTTCCCGGTGAGAAACATGATTCTAGTGACAATGTAGGGCCACACCTTCTTGGAGACTGTCTTCAGATCAATGTTGACCCTCCTGAGGTGTGTGAAGATGATGAGGAAAGTTCCTCAGGCAGTCTTCCTGCTATAAAGATACATGATGATGAAGTGAACTTGAGATTTCTCATCTGTGGTGCGCCTTCCATTGTGGTAAGCATTTGTTGAATACTACATCATGATATATATGCGCTATAGCCTTGTATAAGCTTACTTGTTTATGCTTACATGATGTGAATTTATATGCTAGATGCACATGATTTCCCCCCAATTACTCATGCGCTTTCCCCTCTTCTCCTTTTGTTTTCCCAGGATGAGTCACTGTTGAGATCATTGGAGGATGGACTCAAATCACTCTTAATCATTGAAGTATGATCAATTATTTCTCGTATATTCTCATCAAATTTTTCTATTTTTTTATACATGAACATGATTTATTTGGCACTTATTGCATTCATTTTAGTGAAAGCCCTGGGATCATTATTTTTACATGCAGGGAATCATTTCTTATCCTAAAGTTGGGTTCCATGATTTATTCATTATTCAACATAGTGGTCTCTCAGTAGAGGCATTTTAAAGATCCTTGCTAATTACCTCTGATCATTCTAGTTGCCTCTATTTGTTATTTTGTTTTATAGCTACTTGTCAAAATTTTTCCTTAAGCAGGCAGCTTTTTCATGGTCTTCTTTAATCTTTTCAGATACGGGGGAGCAAGCTCCATGGCAAGTTTAGGTATGTTAATATCATGTATATGCCTACTAACTACACATTGGATGATTTCCAATATGTTAGAATTTAGATCTTTTCTTTTCTTTTCTTTTTTTTTGGGGGGGGGGGCTAGAGTAGGGGTTTAATTACCAGTCTCCCTTGCGCAAAAATTTAACCCCCTCCCCCCAATTTTTACTTTTAAACCCCCATATGCTTACCAAGATGCCAGTGAAGAGGGCTTAGCATATGATTTTTAGCCTTAGAAAGATAGGTAGATGATACATCTAGGGAGCTGGTTGTTGATAGAGCACAATAGTGTTGTCCGATATATGTAGCTAATCTCACTTAGTGAGAAAAGGCTTCTTGTTGTTGAAACCCCCATAACTTTCAAATTGATGCTATTGCTACCTAGGCATTAGTCCCCTCTGTCAGTATGCCCTAATATGACATTGTCATTACTGATGTGGATTGTGCCATGCCATATCCACTTCAGCAGAAAGATTATTGCATTATCAGCCAAAGTTTCTGATGTAGAGGTGGCATCATGCTCGGTCAATTTGAAATCACTAGGGCAGCAACTTTGATATTGGGACTGGGGCAATATAATTAAACTCTTACGAAACTAAATTGACCAATAGGGTAACAAGCCTTTTTCTTTTTTAAAAATATTTTTGCTGTGTTTTTGAGAGATTGTTGGTCATTGGTGAGCATTGACATCCGGTAATATATCAAGGCCCTTTTCCCCTGTCACAGTGCTCCCCCACCACCTCTTCAAGCAGCCACTTTTTCTCGAGGAGTTGTTACCATGCGATGTGATATATCAACCTGTAGTTCAGCCCATATCTCACTTCTGGTGTCTGGTAGTGCTCAAACGTGCTTCAATGATCAGGTAATTTCCAAGTATTGTGGTGATTGTTGAAGTTGCATTACTGAAGCTAGAAATGTGTTAAACATCAATCTTACATAACCAAGATTTTTTCAAGCGCAGTGTGCTTAGGGAGGTAATTCTTATTTTTCTCTGGGAAAATATTAAATTTTAATTTTGGATTGAAAATTGTTCTCAGACAATTTCCCTTTTTGTATAACCTGTCTAAATCAACCATTTCTTTATATCAAATGCGCAGTTCAAAATCATGGTATAAGGTAGTTCTAGACATGAAGTGTGCAAGTAAAGTTGGCTAACTAAAACTTTGAAATTCTTATTCCCTGACCTTTCTGTTTATAGTTATTGGAGAATCATATAAAAAATGAGATAATTGAGAAGAATCAACTAGTTCATGCCCAAATTGATGAGGGAAACAAACAGCATGTCTCTGAACCTCGTAGATCTGCCTCAATTGCTTGTGGAGCAGCTGTATTTGAAGTTTGCTTGAAGCTTCCTCTATGGGCTTCGCAGGTTTTATTCATTACTATATTTTTCACTCTCTTTATCTCAAAACTTTACGTGGGTGCTTTTTTTAAATTTATTAGCGTTGAATAAGATACACTTTCTTGCTAGTTTCTTACTAGGTCCTCATTAAGGTTCTGGTTCTATATCTAATATAGTGGTGGTAATTGTGCATCAGCACAGCATGTATTTGCTCACTTGCTTTGGGAGCTTAAGTATTTGAGAAGTGGTCCTCTAATTTTGGTAGGTTTCTGTGCAAAAATGAAATCTGGAACATGAATGTATTCTTCCCATCTATCAGATCACCCTTCTTACAATGCTACTGACGTCAAGTTCTCCGTTAGGATTGATTACATTAATCGTACTACCTCTGGACCTTTACCTCTTATGTTAATCACCCTCACATGAATTTAAAAGACAAAAAATTGCTTTTCTGCCCCATCTCTGTATTTGCTTTCACTGAATGGCAATTTGATTCATTTGGTCGAGTTTTTTGCCATGCTGAATGAGTGAATAGTTGTTTAATATATTCAGTTTTGCACGCCAATTAGGTATCTAGGTTCTGCACCATTACTTGATGTAAATGTGGATATTCCATTTTTCAATTTATATGAAATTGAGTTCTGAAATTTTGACACCTAAATGATGATACAAAGGTCCTGCATGCAAAAATGGAACAACAGCAATATGTTCTCACATCATTGAATTTTGCTCTTCTTTACTAGCTAAAGCTAAATGTTACAAATAATAGACTAACCAAAGTGGAAGATGCTGATATGATATGTTAAAATTTAGTTGGGGAAATCATATTAGGAAGCTAACTTCTAGGCTGGTAGTATAAATGTGCTTCTGCTTTCTCTATCATCAACCTTGCCCCTTTCAAATGAGAAGTGCTGTAGTATTTAAATGGGCTGATAATTGATATCACTCAATCATTTGACTGACTATCAATCTGGGTCTTCCTAAATCCTTGCATCAATCTATCTACTGCCTTCCTCATAAAATGTATTTTTAATGGGAACTTTAGAGTTCAATATGGTAAGTTCTTGCATTGCTGAAAATGAACAATTATTGGCTGGTTGGGAAGAGTTTTGCCTCACAAGTAGCTGGAGATTCAGTTCAATGTAGCGTTAAAGTTCATGTACTATAAGAATTGGGGCTTAATTGCACTGAAAATGGGCTGTCTTCTCTTTATTTATCATGTATTCTGCTGATAATTTCTTGACTCAACCTTCAGGTTTTGCGACAGCTAGCTCCAAATGTTACTTATCGAAGTTTAGTTGTACTTGGGATTGCTAGCATTCAGGGGTTGCCTATTGCTTCATTTGGGGAAGATGATGCTGAGCGCCTTCTTTTCTTTTATCAAAGTCAAGGGAAAGATAGTGGTGGAGGCAAAATCATTTTCAGCAGCCCCCCTGGTTGGTTGAAACCACCCCCTCCTACTAGAAAAAGGTATGAGCCAAGTCAAGAGGCAAGCCCTGGCCTTCAAGATGGTGTTTTAACTGGGCAAAGTACTATTCAAAGAATAGATGAAGAGGAAAAGGATACAAGAATGGTGAATGGAATTGGCACATCCTTAACTCCAGCTAGGCAGAGATTAAAAGTGTCTGCAATGAGGCCCATCCCTCATGTTCATCGCCATAGAATGACACTCTTTTCTGGACCTTCTGAGACAGATGGTTATGATGGTGCCCAAGTTGAAGCTAGTTTACCAGTTGTTGTCCCTGCAAAGCGCAGTACTACTGGTTCAAGTTCTGCAACACAGAGAAGGTCATTTTCAGGCTCAGCTCAGTCTAAACAGATTATTTCCTTGAACCCACTGCCCTTGAAAAAACATGGTTGTGGCAGAGGCCCGATCCAAACTTGCTCTGAGGTGAGTTCTTTGATTGTTTCCTGTGATACAACTTTTTGTGTGGGTACACTATTTCATTTAGCAATCTAATACTTTGGCATTGGGTGAGACTTGGATGAAAGGTAATACACTGATGGAGACTTTCTTAATGCTTGTGATTGGTTATTCAAAGAGATAGCATGGTAAAGTGTGAGTTGCATTATATTCTTCAGTGAGCCCCCTAATGTGGAAATAGGGGAAGAATTGAGGCTGTATCTGAAGTAGAACTTGATTGAGTGCATACCATGTGAGGTTAAATTTTGATAAGTCACACACTTCCATCACTTTGCAGTGAAAAAGAATTTTAAATTAAACCAGTTGGCTGTATTCAGATCTTTTTATGATATAATTATTTATCAAGAAACTTCTACTGGATTTCTATTAAGTCACTGTTCTTCATAGGAGGAATTTTTGAAAGATGTCATGGAGTTTCTAATGCTTCGAGGACATAGTCGATTAATCCCTCAAGGAGGGCTTGCTGAGTTTCCTGATGCCATACTCAATGGGAAACGACTTGATCTCTACAACTTGTATAAAGAGGTGAGCAATTGGGGTTTTCACTTTTGATGATGATTGTGCTCAGCAAATTTGGGGAGTATGTTGATAAATTTGTTTGTTGTTTCTTAGGTGGTTACCAGGGGAGGATTCCATGTTGGCAATGGCATCAATTGGAAAGGGCAAATCTTCTCAAAGATGCGCAATTACACAACCACCAATAGAATGACTGTATGTTTGATGCCTTGCCTCTTTCTCATTGTTTTTTCTTTTTGTGAGATTAATTTGTCAGTATGCACTCTTCACTGGATACTGGGGGCAATAGGCAATGGCAGTGCCGGTATAACCAGATCTATCAGTATGTTACCATTTTGTGTCCGAAGTTGGCCCATTTTTGTGCCCTACCAAGGAAAAGACATTGTGTTGAATTGATGCATTATGAAAAGGAAAAAAAAAAAGGCTTTTGAATTAACATACGATGTAATAGTAATTTGGAATTTAGGGTTTGTAATTTAGAATAAATGGTTTATTAATTTTAGATTTAGTTGTTTGATAAAAAGTACAAAACTTTTAGCCAACCGTAGGATTAATATATAATTCCTTTGTTGACTTATATATTTTTAATCTTAATTTTATTATCTATTAATGCAAATAAATCCCAGGCTTTGAAAACTAGAAATTAAATTCACAATTCAGGAAGCAGGTCCTTTATCTACTTTTATCTTAATGGGTTTAACTTCTTTGCCACCTTTAACTTCCTGAAATCAATGTGACAAGCTTCCACCTCCCTCTCATTTTTGGTGTCAGTTTGGCCAATTTAGGGTGTTGTAGGGGAGTCTAAAGTGGCTTTTGATACGTTGGCCCAAAATAAAAATGTGGCTCGAGATAACATGGTTGATGGAAAATAGACAGAAGGACTTATATCTTGAAGTGTGAAATTTGGGGACCTCATTTCTGATTTTGAAAGTTAAGTGCTATTTGCGAATCACCTAAAATTCAAGAGGGCTTCTTGCATATTGATTAAAAAGCTTTGGTAATGGTTCCAGAAACTAGTTGAGAATCCATGTGATGATCTATCTAATGGTTTTTTGTTTTCGATGTTAACTAGCTATAACACGCAACAGCTAAGATTATCTGTATAATTTATCTTGGTTTTTCAGGGCGTTGGAAATACACTCAAAAGGCATTATGAAACTTACCTTCTCGAATATGAGTTAGCTCATGATGATGTTGATGGGGAGTGCTGCTTGTTGTGTCACAGGTTTTTGTTCTCCCTTTTCCTGACTGTATTCAGATATGCTATTGCTTTTCGCGATCACATGCAGATTCTTTTCTCTTAAAACCCCCTTCCATGAAAAGTGCTGAAGTTGTAGATTTTCATCTAATTTATTCTTGGCTCATGACCGTAACCAGAGATGTTGCTGTTATTGAAAATTGTGTACAATTAGTAGCAGCTATTCGCATTTTGTGTAAATCTTTGCTTACAACTTTTGAACTGTTCAACAGTAGTGCTGCCGGGGATTGGGTGAATTGTGGCATATGTGGCGAGTGGGCCCACTTTGGCTGTGACAGACGTCAAGGTCTTGGTGCATTTAAGGTACTGCCCCAATCTTTGTTGCCAATGAATAGTCTAATGCTATCTTGTGTGAGGGAAATTGAATTTCATTACCTTTTCTTCGTGTCGAGGATTCACCATATTATTTCATTCACAACTTGTGCAGGATTATGCAAAAACAGATGGTCTAGAATATATTTGTCCTCATTGTAGCATTACAAATTTCAAGAAGAAACCCTCAGGTGTTGCTAATGGGTTTTCTCAGGGGTCAATGGCATCAAAACTCCTTTGATATAGTTCGGTCTCTCCCTTCCTCCATTAACAAGCCATGCTAGTTCCTTCTTGTGTTGGAATCATCTGTAACCATTATGTTCTATATAGATTATAGGATTTTAGGGGCAAAAGTGAGAATTAGGTCTTAATTCTTAAGAAATACTGATTTCACTAGGAATAGGCTCTCCTCCCCCTCCCACATCCCTACCTCCAATCATTATTGTTATTTTTTGGTCCTTAGATTTGAAGTTCATATTATTGAACTTCAACGGCTTTTGCATCCCATCAAGGGCTCCAATATGATTAAGGACATGAGGTCTCTGTTCGCGGATTTGCTGACATTTTGTAATATAATCATGTAACGAATGACAAGTCTTATTCTACTTTATAACAGACTTGTGCATATTCAGTATATATCTTGGGATTGTTGGTGTTTTAAGCAACCTTGTTAAGTTGAATTGTAGTCTATAAAATTCAAAAACTTGGTCCGCTTGGTTCCTAAATTTGCAGGAGTTTCCCTAAAAATAGCTGAACGGCACTAGTAAGGCTTGAAACCTCTTGTCAAAAGCAAAACTTAACTGACGATTTTGAAATAGCGGTTAGTGTATGAAATCGTCACAATCAACCTTATAATTTGTTACTCCAAATGCACATACCAGAATTTAAATATCCATATGCTATATTTAAATGGATGAAGCGTAAGGGCAAATGTTTGATCATTACAGGGAAACCAACTATACAATTAAATAGAGAAAGCACTCTGCTTGGTATAAGTTTCATCAATCGACTTGGACACATGAGAAAGCTGTTTCTGTAAAGTGTGAACAAATGCAGCAAAATGGCTATTTCAATGGTCTATAAACCAAGTTCTTCTTCTTACACTTGGAGCAGTATTTGCAAAATTTGGGAAAATTTTATGTCTCAAGTCGGTTGGAGAGTGGGTAAGGGTAACCAAATATCCTTTTGGTATGACAAATGGGCTCCTCTTCCTGAACCTCTTGTTAAATATGCTCTCCCTAGTGTTGAATCTATTCTTCACGCCAAAATCTCTGATTTATGCACACCTTCAGAAAGATGAAATTTCAACCTTCTTAATCGTCATCTTCACCCTGATGTGATTAATCAAATTGCTCTTGTTCAACCTCCTAACCCTCATGGTGCTAATGATGCCCTTTGTTAGAGATCTTCCTCTGATGGAAATTTCTTAAAAATCTGCCTATAAAAAGCTAGAAGCCCATAACGAACAAAATAATTCTAATATTTGGTCTAAAATTTGGAAGCGGCCTACATATGAAAAAAATCAAGTGTTTCTTATGGAGAGCGGCTTGGGATCGCCTATAGAGTAATTTTACAACTGATGAAGGGCACAACCCAATACAACGAAACTGTACCTTTGGTTGTAACTCTCCTGACTCTTCAATTCACATCTTACATGATTGCAAGGAAGCGCGGGAGGTTTGGCTAAAGCTAGTCAATCCTTCCAAGCTAAATAATTTTTTCTCTCTTAACGTGCAGGACTGGATAGTTTGGAATGCTAGAAATGAAGCAGGGAGTACTAGCATAAGAAAAATTAATTGGCAGAAGCTCTTTGCTCATGTCTGTTGGAACATATGGAAAGCGAGATGCAAGAGATTATATTCTGAAGATGACAATCAAGACAAAGATATAGCTTTTTCTTGTACCCAACAAATCATAAATGATATGTGGCTTCTATCAAGAGTGGATATTTTGAATGACAACAGACTTAGATCCGAGTCTAAATGGCATCCTCCGAAGGAAGGATGGGCTAGGCTTGATGTTGACGGTTCTGTTAACTCACTCGGTGCTGCAACTTGTGGTGGAGTCATCTGCGATGAAAAAGGAAATTGGATTATCGGTTTCTCTAAATTTCTTGGATATCAACCCTGTACTGCAGCTGAATTATCAGGCATTTTAGAAGGTCTTCAGATTGGTAGGAATGCTAACCTTACCAAGATTAACTTATACATTGACTTTATGGAAGCCCTATCTCTTATTCAACATAATTTCTCTGATAGCCATCCTCTTGCGGCAACCATCAAGAAAATAAGGGAGCTTATTATGAGAAATTGGACGGTTACTTTTGACCATGTTTTCAGAGAGGTAAACAATTGTGCTGATTTGCTCGCACGGGAATCTTCGCATGACCACTATGATTTCTCTATCTATAATGTTCCGCCTATGAGATGTAGGAACATTTTAGACTCTGATATGTCCTGACCTCTGTAACCCTTACACGGTTTTGTCCGTGTAAACATAATTTCAGATGAGAACCCAATTTTGGGCTTTAAAGCTGTAAAGCGTTAATACTTTTTTAAAGATATTTGAACTGTGGCTTTATTGTATGGGTATCTCATAGAGGAGTCTCTACAATCAACTTTCTCCTTCCAATTGGATTAAGAATATGTTCTAATTAAAGCATGCAAAACATTCTCACTGTGTACTGTAGAATATATGGAAGATGAAAGTGTTTAATGATTAATGATATAATCAATATGACAATTTTGCATTTCATCACCCATTCGTATCTTGAAAAATTCCCCACGTTTCGGCAAAACATGCAATATGTTTGTGACAGAATTATCAATGGTTAATTAATTGATTATGGCATCAAATGCCTTGAAGAAAGCAAAGAATAAAGCTAGTACAAATTTTGCCCACGTTAATATGATTTGAACAAAGAATAACAAGCTAAGTGTCTTTTTTTCTTTTCTTTTTTTAAAAAAGGAATAACACTGTCCATTTTCTTATTCTTTAATCTCTTTTGGTTAATTTACAGCAACAAGTGGCTTTTTTTTTCTCCCTCCTTTCGTTTTTTTGCCTCTTATACACAATTGGGCATTATTTTGTGTGGACATGTATTGCTTAATAGGGGGGGGGTGTGTGTGTGTAATTTAGAAAAAAATTGATATGAGTTTTTAAATGCTTATTTAATTTATGTTTTTAGAAAATGTCAAATTTCGCCAAAATTTTGATAGTATTTTATGTTTTTTGGAGTCACATTTAGTTAAAATACCATTAAAAATTTCACTAGACTCTTTAACGTTAGAAGAGAGAATTTTTATATGCAATTATTTGATATTCAATACTATATATAATGTTTGATTCGAGTAAATGAGAGGCATCTGTCCAAAAACCGTGCATGCTTTGCTTTATTCCTGAGAGGAAAAAAATTTGAGCGAGGAACAAGGAAGCCCTTCTTCCGGGTTATATATTTATAAATGCTAAGATGTGGAGGTCTCTTAGTTTCATTAGTCAAGAGAATTTAATTTGTTTATCCTGGAATTTCAAATTCAAATCTAAAACAAGCAGTTGCGTTGAATAAATATACCAAAGGATATAATTGAAATACCCATGAGGCAGCTACTTCATGCACATAATACTCAATGTTTCCTAGCACACTGGTGATGAAATGAAAAAAATAATAACTGAGATGACAGAAATTCATTAACAATTTTTCTTTGGGAATTTTGATCAAGTTAATATTAATCATGCCTGCTTTAAAATACTCCCGCAGAAAAACCACATCCTTTTCGATTTCATTAAGCGCACAAACACAGAATGAAAGACCGACCAAATCTTGTATAGTTTGTATTAGAGAATCTGCCCAAAGACACATGATAATCTAATCAAAGTCTTGTCCAAAAAAATAATAATTTAATATATCTTATTAGCTCATGCTTTTACTGGAAACCTACATCGTGAGCTTATATATTTACAAACCCCATAAATTCTCTTCAACTTTCAATCTGTACATCGCTTCTTCCTTCACAGTAATGGCTAAGATTTCTGTCAACCCACTTCTCCTTCTCATCAGGTTATGTCTCCCACCCTGTAATCTTCTTCCGTAGCTTATTATCTATACCATAAAATATGTATGTTTGTGTATGTGTTCTTAATTAGTTTGTTATGATACGGAGTACTTGATGATGCAGCAAGCGATGTCACACAGTTGCGGCTGAGAGTGGAAGGTTGGGGACGGCTGAGACGGCGGCAAGGAAGGTGGAGGGACCACCAGATCAGTCAGTGAGTGGAACTGTTACGGTGAAAGAGAAAGTGTTTTGGATGAGAGATCCAAACACCGGAAACTGGATTCCTGAGAATCACTTCGGAGAAATTGATGTTGCTGAGCTGAGGAACAAGTATCTGTCCAACGCACATAAGCTTACTCAAACCAAACTTGATTAGCCTACCAGTACCTAACACACATGCACCTATCAAATATAATTATATATATATATATATATATAAATATATTATGTTGCGTTTCCCTTATAATTACCATTTTCATATCTATACACTTCCGCTTTGAGCAACTAGCCATCTGCATCATTGTTATCAGCAAAGTCCAAGACCAGATCATAAATGTAATAATCCAATCACATTATATATAAATTATTCCCTAGCAAATTGCAAATTTAATTTTCTCTTGCTAATTAACCGATCATTTGCGTAGCTAAGCTGCTACTTGTTTTTCCGATAAATTAAAGGAAAGCCCTTAAGGAGAAGGAATAGTATTGTATATAGGAAAGTCTTAGCTAGGTTTAGCACTGGCCAACAATCAAAAGGTTGGAAAGTAATTAAGAAAAGGAATAAGTGGAGAATATTTTGATTTTTTTGAATTAATTGTGTACACGTGTCCTCCTATTGAAATAAAAAAATCATTTACAAAACATAGAGTGTTAAATATGAGCATATTTTTTAATAGATATTTGAATGTTGATTCACACATTATGAAGGACTCCTTTATTCAGACACAATCATTGATAGTTAAATATGTAAATTTTAAATAAGTTTTGAGAATATTTTATGGAAGGTTTTAAATAGACTCAAAGCTTACTTTAAGATCTTCAAGACCTAATCTCTTAAACCTTTAAAAGCCTATATAATTCAAATATATAGACATTTAAAAAAACACTTAATGCTTGAATTTAAAAGAAAAAAAAAACTATATACATAAGTTCAGGCTTAGACATAAGTTATAAGCCCTTGTTTTAAATTTAAGTCTATTTGGTCAAAGTTTGACCTACATAGCCTGTTTCCATCCTGTTAGGAGAAGAAATAGAAAAAATTTAGCTAGGTTAAGCTATGACCCACAATCAAAAGGTTGAAAAGTAAGGAAAGGAATAAGTAGGGGAACATAAGTTTATAATAGGTATATAGTTATATATAGGGAAGGAAAACATGCAAGCAACAAGTAATAAGAGGAGTATAGGTGTTGGATGGTTCACCACTGTCCACTGAGAATGGAACCTCAAGAGACAGCCAAACGTTAGTATTCCATGAGACCTACAAGCCGGATCTTATACTCCTTCAAAGAACATCTTGCCTTGCCTTGCTGCTATATATATAGCATGCATCAATTGGCCGATTCCCAATTATATTGCTCAAGATTTTCTTTAAGTAATTAGAAACTTCTTTTCCATTCATCATTAAGTCTTTTTGATCTTGTCATAGTTTTCTAAACTGATGAGATGGCAAAGTTTTCTCTTTTAATTCCTTACTTTTGTTTGCTTCATATTAGAGAAGGCAGATATAGTTTTCTTTTTTGATCTTGTCCTTCATATAAATTAAAAATAATGGCAACCTTTGAGTAACAGACCTGTTGACTTCATCGTTTGCATGTTTTGATATCTCTAAAAGTCAAAACACAAATATATATTATATAGTAAAATTTTATTACGTTCTTGGATGTAAATTATATAAAGGGTTGATCTCCAGCTATAATGAAGTACAACTATATTAATTCTAACCACTAAACATTACATTTTAGAGTTGATGAGGCAGTAAGCAACAACAAGCCCCATAATAAGAGAAAGGTCTATATTTGGTTCCACTACCATTGACAAGACATCTTCTCCCAAATCTACTCCACAGCTTGCCTTCTTTCTTTTTAACTGCTCAGAAAGAAATATAAAAACATGTATATACATAAGTGTTAATTATGTTTTTTTTTTATATAAATTGATCATGATAGCTAGCTTATTTATAACCTACATAAGCTCAATATTAATTATATTTAGATATAAGCAGAATTTTTTATAATTTACCCAAGCAACTAGCCCTCCGAACTGATCTGAGATTTTGCAAAAAGATGACTTCCCAGTGCTGCTTTCAATTGTGTGAGAATATGGTTGATTCTTGTCCAGTCCAAGCATAACTTCGTATGTCGTCAAACCTTCTCTTTGAACCCTGCAGCCTAATTTTGATGATCTGACTCGAAAGTTTGGTTCTTTCTGATCATTATTGTATCTGTAGCCCTCCCAAACCCTTGTGAACTTATGCCTCTACCAAAAACAAAACACCATGAAATTTGAGTTTATTAGCTTTGACTCTAAGTATCATTTAGACATTTCGAATGCACACATATATAAAGTATGCATTTTGATTTTTGAGCGTCGATGTATGGAACACAAGCATATTAACTATACGTAGCATGAACATGTACAACCAAAATTATTATGAGATTGTACCTTTCTGAGTATGGTAAACAAGACATTGCCTTTTGGATCCATGAGAAAAACTTCATGTGCACACCTGATGTCATAATTGTCAACACGATACGCAATTTGGCCTTGGGAGTTAAACACAGTACAGCCATTTCCATTTAGGATCAGAGATTTCATCCATATGGTAAAAGTTTCTTGTTTGGAAGTGAAGTGGTGGCAAGTCCTCGTTGCAGAGGAATCAAAGGGATGAACATGAACTCTTGCCATGCCTCAATTTAAATTATCAGATCATATATATTGCCTTTATATATATATATATATATATATGCTGATCAGGTAGAGAGTCCCATATTGAATCATGTCTTAAATCAGTTTAAGATAATGCGAAACGGTCTTGTTATCTTTATCTATGGCAGCGGCCAACCATGGGAATTTGTCTTAAATGGGGTTATTTTATATTTTACATTATTGTCCTTTTTTATAAAGAAAATCAAAGAATAGCTTTAAAATTGAAAATCAGCTTTCATTAGATATATGATACTAATTTCTTGGAACTCTTAGCCTTATGTCATATTGGATGAGCATGAATTGCAGATAGATGATTCTTTGAATTATTTGTAAGATAGGGCTATGGTTTACTTTATACTAATTAATAGTGATAACAATATATTTTATGAAATCTGTTATGTTTATTTATTCTTCAGAGTCAAACTTTTTTTTAATTATATATATAATTGTAAGTATAAAGTATTGAATTGTGCAAATGAATCAACACAATATTTTATATAAAATTAAATTTTTATGAAAAATTATTTTGAAGTTCTCAAGTTCATTAAAATAAATAAACATATATAAAATAAATTGAGTGTAAGTTTTATTAAATTTCATAAATATTTAATAGTCAAGAAGACATCAAATTAAAGAAAAAAATTATCAAATTTTTAATTATAAATTATTTTTCGACCATCTCAATTGATTCAAAATTATAGTGATATATATTAATATATGTATACTAAAGTTAGGCCTAATAACTAATTGGTCAGTCTAGTTTTTCTCATCACCTTTAAAAAGTTTACAAGGATAAGTTTTGCTAAAATAAATTTATCTCTTTAATTTGTTATCAATGAATAAATATATGATGTTGATAAATTTTGAGAAATTGTCCCTTCTGTACGCACTCGGTCTGCATTATATGTGCATTTTTTTTCCCCTTTTGGAGAGGATAAAGTCAGATAGTTCCGTAAGACCAGATTCATGCACTTATGCTAAATGAAATGATACAGCAGGTATTGTGATATGCTAATTAATTATATTAATCAATTTGGTTTAGATTTGTTAGAGAGATCGATAAGCTTGTACTATGCTTTCTCTGCCGATAATTGAATATATCAATATCATTTAAAATTATAAACCATATCTTCATTTATCACGAGCTAATTATATCCAATGCCGATCCCAATAATTCTTTCTCATTAAAAAAAAAAGCTTAAGTTTAATTTCAACAAAAATGGTCACAAAAAAATCAATAATATAATGCAAATTAATTATTCTGGCTTATGACATACAATACAAGAGATCGATCATGACCGATCAACAATATTACTCGTGTGAAAGTGAAACTTACAGGTCTTTTCCTTTCTTCTAACATAAGATCCAATATTGTCTCTACACTCTTTCTCTTATATAGACAGATTGGTTATTTGTAATTAATGCGTTAAATAACCCTTTACTTATTTTCTTCATCTGATTTTGATGATTGGTTGAATTTATTTGATAGATTACACAGTTTTTATTCCTAATCTCAAGGCTCGAGCTTGGCACATGAGGTGGGAAAAGGAAATTTAAGATAGATAGGACATATCATATCTAATTTATTAAATATTCCATACATATCGGTTTAAAATTAAATCAAATGGAATGCTAAATCAATTTTTGTGAGAAATAATTGAACAACACAACTGGAAACCATAATTATATTTGCAACCCAATCTTTTTTTTTTTTTTTGCATTAATTATCATAACATCTCGTCTCCTACATGTTATGTTATATTAGCCTCTACATCTACAATCAACATACTCTTTTAGCCCCATTTATAAATTATTTTTAATATATTTCATTGGAATTAAGAAACATATTATAATTTATTAATTCTACATAAAAATTTAACAAGTTTTCAACTGTCCCTATCACATACACATTTTAATAATATATTTTTTCCACAAAGTACTTTTAATTGAGGGTAAAAGAAAAAATATTATTTAAAAATTAATAATATAACTTACAAATAGAACCAAAAAAACCTTTCTTTTTCAACCTTATAAATGGATCGGATGGATTACTTTCTCATAATCTTTAAATATGTTTCACACAGATTAAAAACTACAGTTAATTGATATCAATAAATGTGATTAAGATTTAAGTCTTTATAAAATATCCTTATTCATTATTTGACATGTGGTGGTCATAGATTTAATTATACTAACTTAATGAGGGTAAATTTTCTTAATAAGTGCAAGGGATAATAGATAGTTGTTTCTTATGTTTAGACAAAATTTAAAAAAAAAAAAAAGACTCTTATTTGTCGTATATATAGAGGTCTAGAGAAAGAGTATCATTTCATATCAATGTTTTACATAAAATTTATCAAAAAAAATCATACTGTTAACAAGTTATAAACTATATGTTATAAACTTTGTGTAAGCATAACATATATGATAGATGCGTATTAATTTGGTTGTTAATTATTTTATAATAATTTTAGTGATAGTGCTGTGTGGGAGAGAGGGGGGATGGCATGGTGTGGTCCTTAAATGAGATTTTATTTTATTTTTTTCATTATCCAAGTGTATTTTTCTATTAGAGGCAATTTGTTTAAGGCACTATGAGGTGCAGAATATGTACATCTCTTTTGATAAAGATTCGAACCTTAATTCGTCATATTATAAGAGATTAGTTCATTTTACTAGACCTAACCCCATTGGTGTCCCAAATGATGCAATTAATTTTTTCCTGATAAAAAAATAATGCGTATTCACACCCACGTCTTAATAATTTGGCCAAAAAACACCCAAGTTTTAATAATATTTTGTAATTTTAAAATTCTTATCCCTTAATTGGGCCTAACAAAATTTGATTCTAATCCTGCCAAACAGTTATATACTCTCGACTATATTGTAAATGTTGTTTATAAAATAAAAAAAAACAAACTATATTGTAAGTGTTGATGTTTTTTTGGCCAACATGTAAGTGTTGATATATCTAATATACTTTTTCCTATAAAATAAAAATACTCATAAATATTTTATCCACAGCAACATGTTCCCAGTCTAATGTGTCGATCAATTATTAAATAATAATAAGAAAAATATAACTCTAGATCCCTACACTTTACTCATATTTTGCTATTGATCCTTGTATTTTTTTTAATATTTTAAATTCCTATACTTTTATTTTTTAATGTTTTAAGTCTTTTCAAGATTCCCATACTTTGTTCATGAAGGAATTTAAAACACTAAAAAACAAAAGTTTTGGAACGTAGAACATAAAAAAAAAAATACAAGGACCAATGATAAAATGCGAGAATAGTGTAAAGACCCAAATTTATTTTTTTATAATAATAATATTAATTATTTATTTGTCATTTAATATGGAGTTATATTTGAATTTTAAATAAATAAGCTTGAATAATTCTCATGATACTTCATACTTATCCATTCATACTTCCATGCTGAAATCCTCTTTAAATATACAAGGTGAAAAATAATCACTTATTAAAGAATAAAATAAGAATCAAGTCTAGATCACTGAAAACTTCTTGCATGGCAGTTAAAAGTAAATTTTGTAATTTTTTGAAGTGGTTGAATATTTATGTGTGTGTGTGTGTGTAAAGGTACAACCGATGTATTTACATGTAACATATTTGAATAATGTTGTGATGGGATGCGGCCACGTCAGCAGTTTTCGGTTTCTGGGTCACGCGAATTAGAGAAGGGGACAACAACGACTATTTGCTGCGAAACGGAAAAACGATGGAAGAATAAGAGAATGGAGAGTTGTCACTGAATCCCCACAAAGACAAAGATTTCTAGTTATTTTTTTTTTGTTTTAATTTCCTAATTTTATCGGAAAAAATAAAATTGCTATACAATTACTTGGAGGCGTTGCAATTTATTCACAGAATTACCAATGTCATCCTTCGTCATTGAATTTGATTGATATTCTTCTATATATGAATATTTTGGATGAACCACGTCGGAAGTGGAAGTTTCATGAACAATCGCGATCCAGAATTGAAGCTTTCTTGATTATTAAGATAGAAAAAGGATAGGATCGTTTCTTGGTCCGTGTTTGTTTCCCAAGACTATATCTGAATAACCTCTCTCCGTCTTTAAGTTTTCCGTGCAGAGGAGTCCGTTAACTCTGAGGCGCAATCGTATTCTTTGTGCCTTAATTTGACCGAGAAAAAAAAAAAAACTGTTGTACGTGATTTCAGCGGGAATTTTAATCAGAATTTCATGCGATCCTGCTTCAATTTCGTTTTTGATCACCAGCAGTTTGTCTGATTGGTTCATTAGGTTGTTTAAAACTATAATTCAATCTGGTTCATCTCCACGCCTTCTGAATATTTGAAATGAGAAGTTAACGGTTATGCGTGGAGTGATTGAAGACGACGGATGAATATGACCATTTCAATTAGCATTGTCTGAGAAGCGTGTTTGAGTCTTCTATGTGATGGTAGAGAGAGATCTTCTCTGCTATGAGCTTTTGTTTCTATTGAATTCGGTCACTTTTATGAGTTTAATTTGACGTGGGTTTAGGCGGTAATCCTTGTGTAATTGTGCAGATGGATTTGTGACAGTGGAATTGGTTAAATTCTGAAATGGATAACCTTGAACTTCCTCAAACAAGGTTGTGGATCCTTTGTTGATGTAGACCGCGAAGGTTTGTATTGGAGTTGTCAATACGGTAGCTTGGATCTCATGGAGTGATTTAGTTCTTCTTCTTCTTTGTTTTGTGTGAATTTCCAATTCAGATCGTTGCCTATCAGGAGTGCCAGATGAACCTGTCACAATGAACGGGGAAGAAGTTGTATTTGTCAATGGTTGCTCGACGGAGGACATTCTCTGAAGTTGTGAGCATCGTCAAGTCATGGATTCCTTGGCCACCTCAATCTGAGTCGACAAATGTGTCCAGGGTTTTTTGGATGGCCAAAAACAGTTGTACAGTATGCTATGGGTGTGATTCCCTATTCAACTTAACTAATCGCAGGCACCATTGTCGTCATTGTGGCAAAATTTTTTGTGCCAGCTGTACCTCAAACTTAGCTCCTGCTCTATCTAGCGACCAAAGGAACTTGTCGGATGAGAGGGACAAGGTTCGGGTATGCAATTTTTGCTACAAGCAATGGAAGCAGGGCTTAGCTAGTTGTAATAGTAATAATCAGGTCCTCAGTTTGGATCATAGTTCTTCAGCATCAACTTCAAGCTTTATCAGTACCAAATCTGTTGTCACCGCTAATAGTAGTAACAATATTGTTTGCTCCCTTCCCGTTTCGGTTGGTTGTTATCAACAAGGGCAACAATCTGGTGTGAGCCTACATCGATCATCTATGAAATTAGAAAGTCTTGATAGGGAAATTTTATCAGCACTTAGGAGGGATCTTGTGGCAAGCCTTGGGAATTCATCATTAAAGCAATACGAATACTCAATGAAAGGGTAATGTACCTTTTCAGGTCATTTGTGTCAAAACAAAAATATAATTGACTAATCATCAATTTATACATTTAAAACAATCTAATAACTTTATTGAAACAGATCCTCTAAACTTTATAGATGATATTTTTATTTTATTTCATAATTTTGTTCTATTTAAGTTTTCTATTTTTTTTGTTTTTTAATTTGATACACTTGACATATTTAATGTATTTTCAACTTTAAAATAATAAATAATAAATAATGATCAAATGAGATTGAGCACATCCCACAAGTGCTGGCAGATCTTTTCTTCTTCCCCCTTTTCAAATCACTGGTTGCTCTTGCTTCTAATTTTCCTTGTTAGTTAGTTAGTTAGTTATGATAGAAACAAAGCCGGTTAGACTGGCTACATGGATATAATTTGTAATCAATGTGAGATTGAGAGTAATCAAGAATTACAGCCCTTAATCATGAAGACAGTTTTATGGAACAGTCTGTCTCAGAAAATATGCTTTTATCCTGCTTCAGGAGCGGTGATGAAGAGGATGATTACAGTGTGTATCAGTCAGCTTCTGAAATGAGGCATTATTCAGGAGTCGGTGGCTACTATGGTCAAGCTGATTTTGATGGAATTAACGACATTGATGGATCACAAGTGCATCCTGATGAAGATAACATCAATACAGGAGTTCTATGCAACTCTTTTGAGCACCAATACTTTGACATGAGGGGTTTGGATGAAATCCCGGCTATCATAAAAAATGAAGATGAGCCTGATATGTTTGATGAAAACGAAGCACCTTCTTCTTTATATGTTTCAGCAGATATTGATGCTGAACCCTTAGATTTTGAAAATAATGGACTTCTCTGGCTCCCTCCTGAACCGGAAGACGAAGAATATGAACGAGAAGACATGTTATTTGACAATGAAGATGATTATTATGGGAATGACATAGGAGAGTGGGGGTATGCTCACTCACCAAGCAGCTTCGAAAGTGGAGAGGACCCGAATAGAGATTCGTCATGTGAGGAACAGAGAATGGGCACAAGCAATGTAGTTGATGAACATTTTAGGGCCCTGGTAGCACAGCTGTTACTAGTTGAAAACCTACCAGTTGAAGAAAATGATAACAACAGTTGGTTTGAAATCATCACTTCTCTATCATGGGAGGCTGCTAGGTTATTGAAACCAGATACAAGCCAAAGTGGTGGGATGGACCCGGGTGGATATGTGAAGGTCAAATGCATAGCATGCGGGAGCCGCAGCGAGAGGTAAGTGCCATAATCTGTATGATTTTCTGTTGTAATATCCACATAGGATGTTTTATGTTCTTCATATCAACTAATAAATGTTGGTTTACTAATGGGTTTAAAATAGTTCAAGGGAAAAGTATCAACAAATTGGAAAAAATGCAATTGTCTGATTATTAATTTGTCAGCCTCTTGCTAGATTTGGATATAGCATGGCTAGAGAATGGTCTTTAGATGCATTATGACTTGCGAAATCTAGAAGCCATTAAGTCCTCCTCTGATTACTCTCACGTGTCTTGCTCCGTATCCTTTGAATTGGGAACAACTTTCACAGAAGTAACAATCTATCGCTTTTATAAATTGTCATTAAAGTTTGGATAAAAGGACAAATTATTACTTAATTTAATTTGCATTACTATTAAGCCATAATATGGGACAAAGAGAAGTCTAACTTTCTATGGCCCTTCCTTCCTGCTACTTGACCTGCTTCTTGGATTTTCTATTCACAGTGTGGTTGTTAAAGGAGTTGTCTGTAAGAAAAATGTGGCTCATCGGCGAATGAGATCAAAAGTAGATAGACCTCGCTTGTTGATCCTTGGAGGGGCGCTTGAGTATCAGCGTGTTACCAATCTCTTGACTAGTGTAGATACCCTATTGCAGCAGGTTGTACTTGTTTACCATTTTATAAGTTTAGCGTGGCACTTGCTTGGTTGCTGGAGCACAGCCTATATGTTCACTTTCATGAGTTCATGCTGACAAGTTTACATTCTTTTCTAGGAAATGGAGCATTTGAAGATGGCGGTGGCAAAAATAGCTACACAACAACCTGATATCCTTTTGGTGGAGAAATCAGTTTCTCGATACGCACAGGAATATCTTCTTGCACAAGGCATATCATTGGTTCTCAATGTCAAAATGTCATTTCTGGAGCGCATAGCACGCTGTACGGAAACTCAGATAGCACCTTCAGTTGATCATCTATCATCGCTGAAGTTGGGCAGCTGTGAAACATTTCGTGTGGAAAAGTTTATTGAAGACCTAGGTAGTGCTGGTCATGAAGGGAAAAAATCTGCAAAGACGTTAATGTTTTTTGAAGGCTGTCCTAAGCCGTTGGGTTTCACGGTGTGTCCTTATCTTAATTTTTATATTTCATTTGAAGAAATAAAAATTTTTGCGGCACTCTTTCTAATGAATTGCAGATGGATTATCTATATCCACCCAAATCAATGATTGCTGTCATGTACATCCTTGCTTGAAAAGTATATGCCAGAAAATTTCATCCAAGATGTTTTGTCAATTTTTAGAAGCCATTCGAGTACAACTTGTTTCGTAGACCTACATTAAGTGTTCACTTAGCGCATCTGTTTCTTACAGATTTTACTTCGAGGTGCTGACAAGGATGAACTGAAGAAGGTAAAGCATGTGGTACAGTATGGAGTTTTCGCAGCTTACCATTTGGCCATGGAGACATCTTTTCTTGCTGATGAAGGAGCCTCACAAACAGAGTGTCCTTTGAATGGTCCAATACCTGTGCCCATTCCAGAGAAATCACCGGTCATTGAGAGGTCCATCTCAACAGTGCCTGGTTATCCCATTCCTGGCAGCGAAAAGTCTCTGGGACCTGAACTTGGCACTGAACTACAGAGAGCCAAAAGCATCTCAATTGCTGAGCTTGCCTCACTTATTGGCGGTAAAGAGACCTCCTTGTCTTATGCTCCTTATTCATCTATGCCACCAGGTTCAAGTTACAGCAACTCAACTACCTTTTACCCCTCTTCTTTTCCTTCATCAACTTCAATGTCCTATTATGAGAAGCCTCTTACAAGTGAAGATATAAATAAAATGGAATCTAAAATATCTCTCATGTCGGGAACTTCTGTAATGAACTGTTCTCTTGAAATTATGGATAATCATCCTTCTCCTTCTGTAAATGAATATTGGACTTCAGATAAATTTGCTCATCACATCCAGACAGACACACCTCAGAACAGTCTCAGCCAAATGTCCACGACACTGAGTGCTTTGAAGCTGTCGCCTTTAGAAGTTGGTCAAAGCCATTCCAAAGAGACAGAAGCAGTGAATGAAGAGCAATTACTTGCTGAAGAAGTGTTTCCGCCATCACCTACTGATCATCAAAGTATTTTAGTGTCCATGTCCTCCCGATGCGTATGGAAGGGAACCGTGTGTGAGAGGCCCCATATTTTTCGTATTGCATACTATGGAACCTTTGACAAACCCTTGGGTCGGTTTTTGCGGGACTGTTTACTTGATCAGGTTGGTTCTGTTCCAGAAATAATCCATGCATTTTTATTTTGAGAACTCTGGCTACCGTTCTCATGCTTCGTTTCATTGCATTTCAGAGTTATCAGTGCAACTTCTGTGAAATGCCATCAGAAGCACATGTGCATTGCTATACTCATCGGCAGGGAACCATCACCATATCAGTTAAAAAACTGCCCGAAATTTTCCTACATGGGGAAAAGGATGGAAAGATCTGGATGTGGCACAGATGCCTGAAGTGTCCAAGAATGAATGGTTTTCCTCCCGCTACAAATAGAATAATAATGTCTGATGCTGCTTGGGGATTATCATTTGGGAAATTTTTGGAACTCAGTTTCTCGAACCATGCTGCAGCAAGCAGAGTGGCAGGCTGCGGTCACTCTTTACATAGGGATTGTCTTCGTTTTTATGGGTGATCATTTTTCTCCTTCTTGTATGAATAAGCAAAACTCTGCTTCAAATTTTATTCAACATTGCATTGCTTGTTACGCATCATTCTTCCCAAACTTTCATGCTTGTAATCTAGATTCCCAAAATTATTTCGGATGATCAACTTTGGTTTGAATTACATCTAGTTGAATTGAAACAAACCGTTTGGTTATCTTTAGCTTGACTCAGTTATGCAATAGATTCCCTTCTTATAACCACTTTTTGAAAAGCCTTATAGTTTTTTGTGTCTTTATGGAAATGAGTTTCATTGCGCCCATTCATGAAATTAGAATTGGTTTAGATTTTTCATGTATTTGTGGGAATTATTTACTAGTTCGCCATGTTCATATTTCTCTTGCAGATTTGGGGGAATGTTTTTTTTTTTTGGAATATAGAATCTATAGGTTTTTTGTAGCTTATGCATGTGTTATTTTTGTAGGATTTATTTGTAGATTATGTTCAATTTCTTGCAGATTTGGGCATATGGTTGCTTGTTTTCGGTATGTATCAATCGAAATTCACTCGGTCTACCTTCCCCCATACAAACTCAAGTTTGATGATGAAAATCAAGAATGGATACAAAAGGAGTCAGATGAGGTTCAATATTCACTTTCTTGAGATGTTAGATCTTTAAATATGGTTGTTTGATCGCAGACGTGATTTGATGTGTAACAGGTGGTTAACCGAGCGGAGCTTTTATTTTCAGAGGTACAGAGTGCTCTTAGTCAGATTGAAGACAAAAGAACTAGCTCAATGCCAGTTAGTAGTGGACTTGTAACACCTGAATCTGGGAGCCAAGTTGCGGAACTAGAGGCCATGTTACGAAGGGAGAAAGATGAATTTGAGGTGAGGCCTTTAGTTCTAAATGCTTGAATTTGGAGCCTTGCTCTAGTTAGTTCCTTATCTTGTAAGACTCATTTTGATTATTTGGGCTTTTATAACAAATTAAATTGAAGTCCTTTTCCTGTGAACATGGTAAATATAAGAAGTTTTTGAGATCTTAAAATGGGTAGTGTCCATTGACCATTGAAATTGATCTGACCAGCTTTACCATGTGCCTGGTAAGTGTGAAATTGCGCGGAAATTTGCTATGTTTAATGAATTTATCATGTGAGGTTCCTGTTCAATTTTTAATTTTGCCACCTCCTCCTCAATTTCTTTCTTTGTTTTTCCCCTTCTTCTCGTTCTTGATATCTGCAATTTATACTTGATAACTTTTGTAGAACTTAGGGGCAGTTTTAATAATTTTCACAAATGAAGCAGCATATGAATGCTATGTACTCAAGGCTTGTGATTCGATCTTTCTTTTCATTTTACGTAGGAAGCACTTCATAAGATTTTAAACCAGGAAAAGAGAAAGGGCCGGCCTGGGGTTGACATTCTGGAAATTAATCGGTCGCGGAGGCAGTTATTTTTCCAATCATATATGTGGGACCACCGCCTTATCCATGTTGCCAGCTCAGCTAATTTTACAAACGAGAGTGATTTAAGCGGTTCAATTTCAGATGACAAGACGAGAACCACGGATGAAAAATTGAAAAGTGGGATGTCCATGCCAGGTTTCAGGAGTAGTGATTGCATTCTTATGGATCCGAAGCTTCTCGAAAGCCCTTATCTGGTCAGAGGAGGACATGGTAGCAAAATTTCCCAAGGTGATGATATATTTGATCAAGAAATTGACTGGGACAAAGACACAGAACATGAGAAAGAGGATGAACCTGACTCTTCAAATCTTGGGTTAGGCATTCGCAGATCTCTTTCTGAGGGGCATTATCAATCCATGTCTTACTGTTTGTCTGATACCCTTGATGCAAAATGGACAGGTGAGGATTCAGGGTTTGAAATCCTAAAGGATAACAATTCTGTAAATCTTGATGAGTTTATGGCAGATTTGAGCACCGCTATACAAAGAGACATGTCAAATCAAGGGAATCATGCAGAAGACAAGAATGTTGTCAAGAATATGCCGAAAGGACATGATACTATGGAAGACTCTTTAAGCTGGCTAGGAATGCCGTTCATAAACTTCTATCGCTCATTTAACAAGAACTCTCTAGCCAGTTCCCAGAAGTTTGATACACTAGCAGACTACAATCCTGTGTATGTATCTTCCTTATCTTCCTTTCGGGAGATGGAACTACAAGGCGAAGCAAGGCTGCTTCTTCCGATTGGAGTTAATGAGACTGTAATACCACTGTTTGATGATGAGCCCTCGAGTATCATATCGTATGCACTAATGTCACCAGAATATCATGCACAGCTGATTGATGAAGGAGAAAGAACAAAAGATGGAGTTGAAACAATGCCTTCATTGTATTTGTCTGACTCGGGAAATTTCCAGTCGTTCCTTTCTGCTAATGAAACAACTTCTGATTCTCAGATAAGTTTTTTCTCAACAGATGATACGTTACCATCCTTTTCTGCCTCACGTAGCACATGGGTAGGAGATCCACTGGTATGTACAAAGGCCATGCATCCCAGAGTTTCCTTTGGAGATGATGGTCTCCATAGTAAGGTCAAATATTCTGTGACTGTTTACTATGCCAAGCTGTTTGAAGCCTTAAGAAGGACCTCTTGTCCTTCCGAACTTGACTATGTACGGTCCTTGAGTCGCTGTAGAAAATGGGGAGCTCAAGGTGGCAAGAGTAACGTATTCTTTGCAAAAACCTTGGACGATCGATTTATCATCAAACAAGTCACCAAAACAGAGCTTGAATCCTTTATTAAATTTGGTCCTGATTACTTCAAGTACCTTTCTGATTCAATATACCAGGTGGGAGGTCCAACATGCTTGGCAAAGATTCTAGGAATATACCAGGTACTTGTATGTTATCCTCAAATGTTCCAGATTCTAAATTATTTATTTTATGAGCTAAGGAGAAAACTGCTATAATGTTTCCTCATGAGATGAAAACTTTACCAGGCATTGAGCAGGCAACTAATTAAGAGGAAGATTTAAAAAAAGAAAAAGAAAAGGAAAGGAAAAGGGGCCTGCTTAAATTGTCCAAAAAGTTTAAATGGCCATGTAATTTTTGAAATTTTCTCTAGAGAGCAAATGAATAAATGGTAATGTTTCTTTGCTGAATAGCATATGATAAACTCTGTTTAACGATTGCTTTGTCCTCGAAAGGTTACAGTAAAGCATCCTAAGGGGGGGAAAGAATCAAGGATAGATGTCTTGGTTATGGAGAATCTTCTGTTTGGGAGGAATGTGAAACGACTTTATGATCTCAAAGGATCTTCCAGGTCTCGCTATAATTCGGACTCTACTGGGAGCAACAAAGTTCTGCTGGACCAGAACTTGATTGAATCAATACCAACTTCTCCCATTTTTGTGGGAAATAAGGCAAAACGGTTGCTAGAGAGAGCTGTCTGGAATGATACTTCTTTTCTTGCTGTAAGTATTGAAGAGCTATTTATATCTGATGTTCTTTCTTGTAATGCATGCAATTTTTTCTTTTCTTCCTAGCTTTGGAGAGGTTTCTACTATCTGAGGGATCAATTTTCTTCTATATAATGCTTATTATCTCATGGTGCAGAAACCAAAAAAGAAAAGAAACAATGTCCATTCCAAAACAACTCAAATATCAGATCTATTAAAGTGAAATAATAGAAAAGCAACGCTTGTGTCTATTGATACACAGAGGATTAGCTAACCCCAAATTGAAAGGTGTAAACAAACATTCGCTTCATCTTATGCCCCATTATTTCCCTTGTTTTGTGTCTTGTTCTTGTGCAGTCGGTCGGCGTAATGGACTATTCATTACTTCTTGGGATGGATGAAGAGAAGCATGAGTTGGTGATTGGAATCATTGATTACATGAGGCAGTATACATGGGACAAGCATTTGGAAACGTGGGTAAAAGCTGCTGGCATCCTTGGAGGCCCCAAGAATGCAGCTCCAACGGTAATATCACCCAAGCAATACAAGAAAAGGTTCAGGAAAGCAATGAGCAGTTATTTTTACATGCTTCCGGATCAGTGGTCTCTTCCACCTAAATCCCAGTCTGATTTATTTGAAGAGAACACACCGTCTACTTCAGTTGAATAATTCTTTGATGCTTTCTTTTTTTGCTCTTCTCCTCCTCCTCCTCTCTCTCTCTCTCTCTCTCTCTCTCTCATTATATAGGTTTTTTGTTTTTTTCATTTTTAAAGCTGTTAGAAGATGCAGAATAAAGAGAAAAGAGGCTGTTAGAAGCCGCAGGATGTCTGTATGAGGAAAGAAATATTTGATGAGCCTGTATATGATATCTGTGTACAATAATCTATACATAGTGAATGTAACTAGCATCACAATATGTACATTTATACGTGATAAATTTCTCAGAGTTGTACTTATTAATTGGATAGATCAGATTTCAAATGTATGTAAGATCTTCATCATATTCTGCTTGCATGGGTTTAGATATTGTCATCATTTTACTAATGGCAATGGCCATTCTTCTTTCTTTCTTGTTTATTCCTCGTTGGATACAGCTGGTGGGGGAGATCAAATTCAGGATTTGCAGGAATATGAGCAGAAAGATTCATGAGCTAGGTCAGAGAGATAAAAATTATATATTAAAAAATATATGATATAAAAAGTTGTATGATTTCTCAATTAAATCACAGATTTGTTATATTATCATCAAAAATTTAAATACATGTTTTAATTAAACATTTTAAAAATAAAAAATGTTTACTCAAGATTATTCAATATAAATACAAGACTTTAATATTTTAATTCACCAACAAAATTTGGAAGATTTGGACTATGAATGATGCTGCTCCTTGTGCAAGTGTGATTGAACAATGTTGATGTAAGTAATGTATAAAAGATAAGTAAAGCAAGTTAATTGTGAAGAATAAAAATATGTTTAAAAAAAATATAGTCATAATTACTTTAACTACGTATGTTTTATAAACTGACTCTAATTATAAAAAGTTTCCTATCAATTAATCAGAGGAAAATGAAATGGTGAGGTCCAAATTCAAAATCTCATAATTTCAATGTCAGTCTCCCTCCTAAAAAATTTGATTCAAAGAAAAAATAAATAAATGGTGAAAAATAAAAAAAATAAAACTTTTGGTCACTCAAATTTATCTCAATTATTAACTTTGATCTTTTAAATTTAATTTTTATTAATTTAGTTTCTTAAGTTTGCTCTCAACCATTGGCTTGGTCTTCATTACTTAAAAAGAAGACAACATTGTCAAAATTTGTTGCTTTAGATAACATGATATTAATGCCAACCATAATAAAAAAATGTAATAATTTGTGTAAGAAAAAATAGATTCAAACATTTAAAAAAAAATAAAAGAACAGATTGTTGTGTAAGATACTAGATTGATAAAAATTAAAATATTGATTGGAAGGCTTTTTGTATACAAGTTTAATTAAAGGGTTAAGAATCATATTTGTTCCTAAACTATACTCAAAAGATTACAAATAATGATAAATTCAACTAAATTAATGTCTCACATTATTTAAAAAATAAATAAAAGATTTAAAAGTCTTAATACATGTTAGTTGATGTCATTAAAATTTACAACAAAATTCCAAAAACAAAATACACGAGGTATACCGATATAATTCTCATAGAATAAGATAAGGAATTAGACTTTTCAAATTAAAATGAGTTCCTTAGAGTGAGCATCAAATTGAAATATTGAACATCTATAGCCTAAAAAAAAAAGGTCTATGCCAGAAGAGAAATTATCTAAGAGTAAGAAAGTCAAAAGGCCAAAACAAGAGAACGATGAGAGAGAGACACCAAGCAAAGGCAAGAAGAGAAGATTGCAAGATTGAGCGGCAAAAAGAGGGAAATACCAAGTCGAGAGACGCAGAGAGTCAAAATGTGAGCACAACAGCAAGAGGGATAGGCGAGACAGCTACAGGAAAGGAGAGGGCAAGAGAGACAACTTGAGTCGAGAGACAATAAAAGTGAGAGAACTTAGAATTGATGAATACTTAGGGTTTTTTTTTTTTTCATTTGCCAAATGATACATTTCAAGATACAATGGATTAAAAAATAGAACCGAGTTTGGAGGCTGCTCAAGCCCAAAAATTCAATTATCTTAAAAAAATTTATTTTTCAAGCTCAAACTTTAATTCAAAAAAGGCTTTTAAGTTTAACCTTTCAAACTCAGTTCTTACTCTCAACTTTAATTGTCATTTTAAAGTGAAAAAAAAAATCACTAGCAATAAAAAGATGTGCTTGGATCACAAACAAACTATTGCCCTAAAAAGCATTTAAATTTGTTTATCAGCTCCATTGAACTTACAAGTGCGCGCTGTCTTGTGATTGGTGTACTTTAGTTTGTTTATACATAAACACACACACGTTCACAACACACTCACAGCTTGTTTTGTTAAGTGATAAGGATTTATATGGTTGTTGGTTCAGCTGGTTGGGTCAGATTTCAGTACCATCGAAGTTGAAGTGTTGATGAAGGCAAAGACGTTGAAGCGAGAGGTTCATTTTTTTGCCTTTTACGATCTGAAGCAAACTTTGTTGAAGCAGAAGATTCATGATCTCAGCATCTCTGAGCCCAACAATAACACAAGATATATCCAAATTAACTAGAATTAAATTATGACTAAAAACTCCAAAATCGGAGGGAATATTCCTAGATTGAATATAAAAAACTTATATACTTAATTAAAGTGCTTTTTTCTTTCAATTAAATCGAAGCACGTAGATTTTTTATATACCATTTAGTATATAATATTTTTTATTATTAATATTATTATTTTAATTTAATTGAATAAATGAAAGTAAAAGCTAAAAAATTAAGGGTTTTCCGTAGAAAGAAATATAGAGAAATATGATTTGAACCTTGGAGGAAAGGTTGGTGCTGGAATTCGTTGAAGCCGAGGCCCTTCATCGTATCCTTCGCAAATAATCTCTCCAGTACTCTCGTCTTTGTAGCAAACTATTCCCTCCGATTCATTCTCGTACACCTGTTCCACCGCACATCTACAAACCTCAATTTTTATATTTTTGTTCACTGGCTTTTAGATATCATGTTTAGGTTTAATCAAGCAATCAATTATGCAATAGTTTATAGAGAGAGAGAGAACCTTGTCGATGGAAGCTGAGGTTGTGAGTATGAATGGAGGGGCCTTTCCGAGTCTGAGAGGCAAACGAGTTCGTGGGGACATGTAATCTCTGTTTGCAAACTTGAGAAACGATCCAGATTTGCGAATTAGGATTTGAGATGAAGCACACTGAAGAGCCATAAATTAATGTTGTGGATTGTGACGAAGAGCACAAGAAGAAGAAGAAAGAGAATGGGTATGGATATCTTATATAGTAATACGATATTTATTGGTTGATGCGTCACGCTGCTTCTGGCTTGTTTCCTCTTCACTGGTTGATTTGACTATTTCTCACCTCACTCTATACTCTAAACGTCCTCACGCCAGAAGTCTTTCTTTCTTTATTTCTTTCTTTCTTTTTTAATGCGAGTGCTTCTTTTTCTTTTAATCTCAACCACTTCTCTTTTATATATATATATATATATATATGTACACACACTACGTGTAATGAAAATATAAAATAATTATATATGTATATGATTAGGATGATATGCTAAAATTGTAATATAAATCACTTTCTTCAATCTCATGAAAAATCTTCTAAATTAATTTCAGTTTCTTGTTCTTGGAGATTTGAATCACAAGCTTTTGAAGAAGATAGCTCCTCATTTGATTGCAATTTCCTCCCAAAAATCTTTTCATTTTTTAAAAAATCTAGAAAATCTCAACTATGCAATTAAAAAAATCTGTATAGCACAATCGATCATTTCAAATGAATAATCTTGTTTTGGGACTATAAAATAAATAAGAAAGAAACGATATAAAAATTTCCCTTATTTGGAAAAAAAATTTAAAAAAAAGGATTATTAATTAGCTAACAAAGCAACAAAAGCTGCACGGATGGCAGATTGGCGATAGCAAAGCTGTTGAAGAACTGCAATATAATTGAACGCTAAAAGACAAAGTGACAACGGGAGAATTTGGTAGTATGAAATATAAAATAAACAAGTTTGGTTTGTTCAAAAAAAAAAAAACAAGTTTGGTTGGGCAAAACACGGAAAACAGTTGCGGGGAAAGGGGACAATGAAAAAGTTAGGGCCGCTATCAACAACACACAGACGGCCCCTAATATTTCATTAATTATTCTTAAGGGCATTTTAGCTAACAAATAATTAATTACTCGTAGAAACCTGTAAAGTGTCCTTAGGTTCAAATTAGTCTCTAAATTACAGGTTGAGAATTGTTTGGAGCTCTAAACTCATCTTTTATATAATATTTTTTTTAACTTTTAAAATAATATTATTTAATTTTTATCATTAATAAAAATTAATTTTGATTGTTAATTAATTTGAAAATAAAAAAAATGGTCTCAAAAATAAAAAAAATGACTAAGAAAATTTTAGTGAATCATTTTCTATAATTTTAAAGCTATTTTCTATCATTTTTTAGTTAACTAATAACTAAAATTAACTTAAATTTTAAAAAATATGTGAAACAAATGAGTTTAGAGTCTAAAATGTTTTTAGACCTATAATTTAAGGGTCAATTTATTCATTTATCTTATATTAAAACATACTCTTTCTGTTTCATAATACAGGTCATCTAAAATCATTAATAATGAATATTGTATTAAATAAGTTAGTTAAATTATTGGATTAAAGGGGGGGAAATAAGAAAAATATTACTAAATATTGCTTTGAAGTTCTAAAGAGTAAACAATTTTACGTGTATTTAAAACGGAGATAGTAAAAAAAAAAATAATAGTTAAAACTAAACCATGAAGAATGCATATTAATAACCTGACCTGTAGAGCATGTTATGAGTGTCCTCCGAGCTGTGGGCTTTTGATGATGACATTGGATTGGAATGCAAATGGGCCATTTGTTTCCCAAATTTTTTTTTTGAAAGTTGTAATAAATGATAATCTTCATAATTAGTGACAGAGCGAGGCATGTTAGCGATCAAGCTCCATGAATATACTCCCTCCGTTTTTATAATAATATTATTTTAATTAAATCTTACATAATGATAATAATAATTTATTATTTAATTAAACTCATATAAAAACATAATAATTTTTCAAGTTTACCTTTAATAATATTATAATTAATATTATGATGGTAGTAAAAAAAACATACAATTAATAATTTATTTTATTTTTTAAAGTAAGAATAAAATTATTTAATTGTTTAAAAATTTCATTGTCACTTTTTATATTAAAAAATAAAATAAATTTTTTGAAAATATTTTATATATAAAGACACAGGAAATATGCCATCTTAAGGTTCATAGAGGTATCATCAATGACAGAGTGTTTAGAGATGCGAAATCTTTGCGCAATCTGGTTGGCTTCAATGACCTGCTCATGTGTTCATCGTATCGATGACTTCTCTTCATTTTCGACGCTTCTCTGCTTAATTGGCTTAATTTGGCTAGATTTTTGCAGTTGCAAAGAAGTAATTAAGACTGAATATCTTGCCTTTCCAGAAATTTTCTCAGAAATAAAATGAAGCCAATTAAAATGTAGGCCTTCAACAGCCACCTCCTTCTGTCCTATACATCTGCATCATTCATCAGACTTCTACTTTCACTTATTTCACCTCTCACAGTCAGTGTATTTGACCATCACATTTTTATTGTTTCACTTTTCACATTCCCATAAGAGTAATTCGCAGGGGATATATTGGAGAAGAATCGTATAGCAAGATACAAGACAATGTCCGTCTTTTAAATCTTATCTTTCAAGTTGAATTAATTTGAATTGATATTGTAAGATTAAATTAAAACAAATAAAAAAAAAATCAACTAACCAAAACGACGTTTGACAACTTTCTGTTCATCATTTAATTTCTTTTGAATCCACGAACAATCATGCTTGTATCATTCAAATAATATAACTAAGTAATCATCACCGCGTTGGTCTTTGTAAAACAATGAAATACTTTATAATCACTAAATACAAAGTCTTGATTTAAGTATATGTGAATGTAAAAACTATCTTTGAAAAAGATACTATCGAGTGAGCCAAATAATAATTCAATTAGATAATCATATAAACAATAATATTAACAAATAAATTCAGGAAAAAAAATCATATTCTTTCCCACTCATAAATCATTGCAAGGTATAGTATTCACAAAACATTGACCCGAAAAACAAAACTAGAGTGAGTATTTATTTATTTTAGTTTAATTATATTTATCATTTAATTAAAATAATCATAAACCTTTCATTTTCAGATTTATTTTAAATTTATTCCTTAAATATTGTATGTGATAGTAAGATATTATTTACTAACAACTAATAACTGATCATTTTAGTATCAATAAGAAACTAGTGATTTTAATAGTTTTATTTAAAAAAAGAAAAAAAGGGAACACAAGAACAAGGAACGCTAAGCCTAACTTTACCCCGAAAAAAAAATAAAAAAAAAGAAACGCTAAGCCTAAGAAAGCCGTACATGATCGGCAAAATGCCAAAAACACATAGGGAGGGCGAGGAAACAAACCGTACGATCTTTTTTGTTACCAGCAGATTTAAGCTCCATAGGCTCCTGTTTCATACATAGATACTCATTGCTTTATTTATTTATTTTTAAGAAAATTACAAAAACATACACCCAAACCTATGCATATTAGATAATGGATAATCAAACGTGGGTTTTTGATAAATTTTTAGTTTTAATTTCTTTCAAATATTTTCTATCTCACCAAAATCAGTCGGCAGATATATATTATAACAAATCAATTTTCATTTCAATGGTTCCCAAAACTGTAAACACCACATGGGACTGTACTCTCAGTCCCACGAAGACAATAAATGAGTGAAGCCCATCAATTTGCTCATATTTTAATCCTTTTGGATTGGCAATTCACATTTTAACTTTTCCCATCGTCCTACCCAAAGCAGGGCACAACAAGCTCTTGCTTTCTACTTTTGGGATACCTTTACATCATGTAAGTGGTATATAAATATTTCAACGTTATATGTTTATATATAAACAGTTTAATGCACCTAAAATTTCACTCTTCACCTTGGGAGAATATGTGATCCTCTACCTCATTCATATTTTTTTTAAAAAAAAAAGATTAGATGCATTTTTGAAGCATTACGCAGAGCCTGAAATCAGTTGCATTGTGCATGACCGCATAACATAAATTTGACATTATATATTGACGTAATAAAAGTAATAAACTATGTAGAAAGTTCATTTTTAATTTTCATTTATTTTCAAACACAATTTATATTCTGTATTTAACTAATAAAAGTGCCAAGAACATATAGCTCAAGTAGCATGAACTATACCAATCTCTCATGCGAGTTAAAAGAGGGAAAATTATGTGTATGGTGAGAAAAAAACAGTACAAGTCATCTTTATCTTGACTATCTAACTAAGAGATAGACTTTGATTTGGTAGGGGAGAAAGGGTTAACACAAAAAAAAAACTCTGCAAAATAAAACAATAGCTAGACATACTACTACTGAATAATAGTACAATGCATATTTTATAGTTTTGTCTTTTATTTTTGTTCTGCTCTTATCATTTTGAAGTCCCAAAAGCTAAACCACGCTTGGTGAGCTATTAGTTCATGACAACCAAGATGTTAGCATTTCAATATTTCATAGTTTAATTTGTGTGTGTCGTTCCCAAAGCTCCCTTTCTTTTCATGGAGGTACTCATTCGTCTTGTTGCTCATCCAAAATATATTTCTTCGAGACAGAAGTGGGCAGAGTCTGAGTGAGCTGGAACAGGGGTCTCTGTTTTTTTGCCTCTTGTCCCATGCGAGTCATTTTTTAAAAAGCTGTACTTTAGATCCCGCCTCCCTAATTAGTCCTTGCTTTTTCCCTTGTTCGGTATGCTGTTTCACTGCCTCTTTGGTCCCTTTCTCATGACCCACTGTTCCATTATATGACCCCTTTCGAGTCTAATGCGACAACACACAAAGAGTCAAGGCCCTTCACACACACTCTCCCAACCACCACACCCACCTTCCTTCCTTCATATCCTCTGCCTCTGCCATGGATCTCCCCAACCACAAATACTTTCGACCTTCTCCTCTTCTGTCATCTTCAAATGGGGTACGTTTCTTTTCCTTCTATTCGTTTCTCCTGTGCTTCAATGTGATTCTCTATTCATTACTCTCTCTCTCTCTCTCTCTCTCTTTTTCCCCCTCTTTGGGTCTGTGTTTCAGGAATTGGAGGGCAAGATCGACTTGTTTGGGAGGAGCAAAGAAAACCCATTTCCAGACCCACTTTGCAAGCTCAATCTCAGAGAGACCTCTGAGTTTGTCAAGTCATTTCCAATGTCGAATGGTGGAAGCACAGAGAGCAGGGGCTGTATTCTTCAGGGTTCGACTCAGAGAGGGAGAGAAGAAGGCTCTAACTCGGTCACAAACAGGAGATTGGAGACTCCTTCAACTCCTGGTAGACCTGTTTTCTGCTTTACGAGTGTTGGAAATCTCTCGAGGAAGAACTTTCCTTCGAAATGGGATGATGCAGAGAAATGGCTCATAAGTAGCTCTTGCCATGACTCTCCTGCTCATACTGTGAAGGTATCAGAAAATTCAAAGGTTAGCAGCCAATGTGATAACTTTAAGAAACAAATGGAGGATCTCTCGGAGAAATCGAGGGTTACGGAGGAAAGGGCATCGAACACTGTCCCAAGCTTTCAAGGGTCCGTGTCTTTGGACCACCATAACTCAGACATGGTTCTAAAAGGTTAGAGTATGACCGCACTATCCACTATCTTAACCTCAAAATCATTCTGCCTTTTTCCCATCTTTTTCATTCTCTGTTCTTTTTTCTAATTTGTCTGTATTAAGTTCTTTGACTTTTGCCTTTCTATAAAGCTTTTTTATCTTATCTGGGTTAAGGGTCAATATTATTGGGATTTGAGATGGCTGCTAGACCCAATTTAGATTTGGTCGCTTATGCTTGGAAGAAATTTGTGGTTTTTATGGTTATTTTTAACCTTGGAACCAAAATTGTTGGTAGGTTCAAGATTCTAAAGTTTTGTAAACTCTCATTTCTGTGTTCCATAAGTTGGTTATAAAATTATACAGACACTGTCTTTCATAGTTGGAACAAAATCACAGCTCTCTGGTACTAGAATACTTCAAAATAACCTGAGAAGCTTTTAAATTGACAGTGGCACAATCTTTTCAAAGACCATCATAAGCTTTTTGTGTTCAAGGAGTTAAGGAAAGAGAACCTGAGTGAATGGTGGAAGTTATAACTGAATTCAAGTCTACCAATAGAATAAGCAACCCTTTGACAGATAGTGACTTGTAATGCAGACAAGTTCACAGACAATCCAGACCCTATTCTGCCTAAATTCAGATATTCAGAACCAACCAAGAAGCGTTTCTTTTCAGAAACCCTGGTGGTGAGGCAATGAAAGATGCTTGCACGGAAATGGTTCATGAGGTTCAACACAGAGATGTTGGGACAGAGATGACTCCTCTTGGAAGTTCAACCACTTCAAGGTGCCACACACCCTTCAAGAGCTCATCCCCTGCTCGCCATAATACTCCAGCTAGCAGGTCAGGACCATTGGTCCTAGCAAACCAAAACGACACTGGCTGTACTATTGATGTTATTCAGCTCGAGGAGTGCCATTTCGCTAAACTGCAATTAGGAACACAGTATGGTTCAGTCACATCAAATTGGAGCTCGAGGGAGGAGGAGGAGGAGGAGATATCAAAGAGCTTGAGACATAGCACCAGCCAGAAAGCTGATATAGACTGCAGAGCTGCTACATGGGAAGAAGAGGAAAAGACCAAGTGTTGCCTCAGGTAAATATTTAGAAAGAGTGAAACATTGTTGTTGCAGCACACATTGTAGTTCCACATGTGTCAGATAGTCAAGTTAAGAACTACATGCTTGTGATGTGAGTGACAGGTATCAGAGAGAAGAAGCAAAAATCCAAGCTTGGGTTAATCTCCAAAGTGCAAAAGCAGAAGCTCAATCAAGAAAGCTTGAGGTATTTAAATATTATTCAACCATCATTCCCTTTTTACTTCCCCTTTGTTGAATCATGGTTAGTTTGCATTCCTTGCCTTATTTTCTGAAGTCTTTAGCTTTGAAAGTAAGACAATATGTTTGTTCAAATTATCAATGCGAACCCAACTGAATCTGTCTAGTTGGTAAAGAATGATTTCATAGGTTCCCTTGCTGCTCTTGTCATATTTGTGTATTGTGAAAACGGACATCAGTTTGTCTAGTAGGGACTTGCACTTTTGCAAGCAGTTTGAACAGTGAAAGTCAAGATAAGTCCAGATTACTGTGTCTTGCGCATGGATTGGCCTTGTACTGGACGCTGAGAAACCCAGTATCTTAATAACTGTGCATACAAGTTAGATACCTGAGATGCTCATGCTGATACGAGTTGTTGATTAAAGTCTGAGTGTTTAGCCTGGCATGTGGTTGGTTTCATCTCCTCGAGCCACCCGCAGCTCCTAATGGAACACAAACCTTATCTGTTCTTTGACCAGTCCCCCTGCTTTGAGAGTGATCCTCAATTCAATACGGTTCCCCACACCATGCCCTCAAAAATAAAATACCGCACTAAAAGCCTGAAAGTCAAAATGTTGCGATATTGAGTGTACCAGGACTTAAGGAGTGCATGTGATAGTTTGCTTTAGATATAGTCTTGGGAATAATGAGTCAGCCATGCTCAGTCGCACTTGTTCTCTGTTTCTTCCTGTTCAACTTTAATATAATAATGAGCATTATTATTTTAAGAGAGCTCACGTTGGGTTCATTAAGTTCCGAGCTCAGACCGTGGACGGTAGGTGGGGGAATCAGGCAATAAGCTGTAAAGCGTATTTTACTATTGAACTCATAAATAATATTGACAAATCCCAAATTTGAAATGCTGGCCAGTACCCCTTCCGAATAACATCTTTTAATAAAATAATTATTTATTTTTAAATTAAATATTTTTTATTAATTTATTTTTAAACTAAAAATTTTTTTATATTTATTCCTATTTAATAGGGTGTTTCACCCCAAAAAAATAAAATAAAATAATATATTCAATAGTAGTACTTTTTAAAAAAAATAATAATATACTTTAAAAGACTCAAAATATTTTATATTTTTAACATTTAATTCTTTAAAAATGATTTATATTTTTTAAATGGAGGAAGTGTAAGATATCTGTAGTCTTTTTTATTAGTCATTTTATGAACTTGTTGAGGCCTTAAATAGTTTTTCAAACATGTCATATATTAGAAATTGTGATGTAGAGGTGGTATATAATAGTGGGTTAACCGATTAAGTGTAATTAATAAGGATTATATTGGTAGACTTTGGCTAAGTGTTTTATGTGTGTAAATTAGTCGAAAATGACTTATATTTAAGACCATAAAAGTATTCTCTCTCTCTCTCAATGTTATAAAACACTTTTAATCGAATTACAATCTTAGAGTTAAATGATTGTCTTTAAAATTTTGTACTCTCTTTTCACATTCATAATTATTTGATAAGGTATTTCAATCAAAAAAGCCTTATTAATTACACATTTAATTAAAGGGTATTTTTAAAAAAAATCTCATTAATTGCACTTTAAAGGATCTAAAATATTTTATATCTTTTGGCATCTCGCTTAAAAAAAAAAAGTCTTATATTTATAAAGTACTCCTTCCTATCCTTTTTTGAATGATCAAAGAATGCAATTAAAATTAATAGAATTAAATAAATATGCTATAAATGCAATTTTAATAAACACTCTTTTAAATGTGAGTAAAAAAGAACAACAATTAATAAATGCTTCAAATAATAGGTTGTTTCTTTTAATTAGAAACAAGAAAGCCCTTCAAAAGCTCTTATTAAAAGTAATTATTATAATTGCTATAATTACTCCTTCTAGCTTAAATACAAGGTACTTTGCAAAACGTCAATAATTAAAGCTTAAATACAAGGTACTTTGCAAAACGTCAATAATTAATCTTTTTTCAGACACCTTTATTAAATGTATTGTAGATGTTATATAAAAGAATTTAAAGGTGATTAAGATAGACTAATCTTAATGAAAATTTGAAAGTGAAGAATAAGAGAAAGATTTCAATGAAGAGGACTGTGTATTTGCTGTTTTAGTCAAATTTTCAATCAGTTGAAGAGCGAGTGATTGGAACGAAGGTGAAAATTGAGTGAACGTTGTGCAGGTGAAAATACAGAAGATGAAATCAAACCTGGAAGAGAAATTGATGAAGAGGATGGCAGCGGTTCACAGAAAAGCCGAGGAATGGAGAGAAGCTGCGAAACAACAGCACCTGGATCAGATCCAGAAGGCGACGGAACAAGCTCACAAGATGATGAACCGCCATAACCCTCATTTCTCAAATCACCGATCCTGTGGTTGCTTCCCCTGCAATAATAACACCCATTGCTAACACCAAATCTCTATATTTTGATTCTCTTCCTGAAATTCCAGATTAGCTTTTTGGTCGTCATTTCATTTGCCCTCCTCTAAAAGCAAATTAGCTACCAAAAGTATAAATAAATGAGTTTTCTACTAATCACTTAGTTTCTGCAATTATCAATAAAATCAGAGATTTTATTAAGCAAGATTGAACGATTATGTTTGACCATATTTTTAGGAAAGTAAATAAATGTGTGAATTAGTTATCTCGTCAAGCTCCTACTGACTATCTTTATGTGCTTATTTTTGATACTCCGTCATTTGGTCGTAGTAATTTTTTGCACGCTAACATAACTTATCTTGTTAGTTAGATGTCATTTGATTAAAAAAAAAAAAAAGAAAGCATAAATAATGAAGAAATTAGGAGCATCGTAGAGCAACTATAATTCTGCCAAGGATATTTTTTTAATTCTATTTATAAGTCACTTCTAATATGTTTTATTAATATTGAGAAAAATTTTAAAATTCATTAATTTTGTCTTAACACTTAATAAGTTCTCTTTACCCCTATTAAATATATATATTTTAATAATATTTTTTTCTCCAATATTCAATAGAGGCTAAAAAAAATTTATGATAAAAATTTAATGATGTGATTTATAAATAGGATAAAAAAATTTCTCTCTACCCTATAAATAGGATCAAGGGAAGTACTAACTAGTAGTGGAACCAAAGCAATAAGTGTGGGGAGCCAATTTTATGTTACCTGAATTTTTATTTTTAATTGAAAATAATTTTATAATACAGTTGATAAAATTTTCAATAATTAAAAATATCTTCTTTATGATTATCAATATATTAACATTGAAAATTTTTAATAATAAATTTTCCCAAAAATTCAAGAAAAAAGTTTTGCAAAGAATGTATATATAAAAAAAAAAGAAAAACTTGATTATAAAAATAGAAAAGCTTATATACTTGATATGCTTGCTTTCAATTAAATAAATACATGTGCATTATTCATTTCATATGAAACTCTTGTTATTAATATTATTAACATATTAAAATTCATTTGTTTTGATTTAATTAGATAAAAGTATATTAAGTGTTGAGTGTGCAAGTCTTGTACTATAAAAAATTCACACTTTTATGATTTAGAAAAATGGTTGTCAATAAAAATGAAAAGAAATTAATAATATATTCATATTTTTATCTATTAGTATTTATAAAGATAAAAAGAGATAAATAAAAATAATTGATGTTGAAGTAGATATTTGTTTTATTAAGTGAATAGGCGATAACAGCAAGTATAGGAAGAATACAGAGGGAAAATATTAAGATAAAAGTCAAAACTGAAAATTCAGGAGCCAAAACAGTATTTTTCTCCTTTAAAAACTATACCCTCTTTTCTTTTTCAGCAAAACCATATCTCATTACACATAGTAAAAAAAATAAAAACAAAAATCTGAGGGAGCCGTAATAATGAAAGCCCTAACTGGAAAAGACATTATGGATCAAAATACTCCCAAGTTCATTCTATGGAGTTTCCTAAATTTAAGAGCATCGAAATGTCTAATAAATCAAGTGATTAAGAAATGTGTTTGATTTTGATTTATAGGTGACAATCTAAATGTAAGGAAACATAATGTATAATTCTGCACACAAAACATTAAAACCAAACAAGTAAAGCACATGATTTTATTTATTATTTGGTAAAAGCATGAATGTTTATTTAATTAAATGCTCGTAAATTCAGTAAACTTCTGGAACCGCACGTTAACAAAATTTATGGGGAAAATTCTTAGAAAGTTCTAATAATCAATATATAAATTATAAAGCAAGCCTTAGACTCCGTACAATGTACGAAAGAAAATGTGTCTAGTTGTCAATTATATCATATAATTTTTTTTTTGAATCTTATTACTCATAATATGTGATTTATTCATGTGAAAAATATGGGGAATTTATGTAGTTTATTTAAGACTATAAAACCTTCATTTTGGATTAAATGGATAAATACTAATTTTATTTACTTTCTTATTCTCGCCATCTCATTTTTATCCCATTCACTTGCTCCACAGGTCAGTTTCTGGTGTGGTGTGTATGTGTTTGTGTGAAATAGAAACCCAAAGCAAGCTCACGATTTCAAATCTTTTTAAACTTTTAAGCAAATGTAAAGGAAAAAGGAGCAGAGTAATTGGCTGGAACTTTTGCTTTATTGTCGAAGCAATTGCAGCGTGCTACGCGTACACGTGCAATAGGTGAAGATAATTGAGAATAAAATGTGGGTCTCAAAAAAATAATTCAAAATAAATTTTAAATGTAGATATTAAAAATTTATAAATTTATCTTTTAATTTTATAATTTCGTTGTAATAAATTTACTAACTATTTTTTAAATTTTAATATAATTAAATTTATTTTTTATTAAAATTTAAAATATAAATTATAAATTCATCACAATAACATTACAAAAAAAAATTAAACTTATAAATTTTTAAAATTTAACACTTAAAATTTAACTTAAAATCTCTATATCATTCTTCCAAAATAATTTAGCTCATGTATGTTCAAATTGAGCTGATCTAATAAATTATTAGATATTTCCGCCGAGTAAAATCAGAAACCAAGCCGGGAAGTTATGTTCATTCAGGCTCTCCACTTCTCATCGCAGTACCTCACACACCACTCAGGTGAAGCGTTGCCAGTGATTATATTATTTGTTTTCCCCCGTTATAGGATAAGAATAGAGTAGTTCTTAAACTCATTTTCCAGAAATCCGATTTGAAGACTCCCATCGCAACGTTTGCTTTTTTTGTTTGTGGGGGGAGGGGGGGGGACTCAATATAAAACCGAGGCACGACAATTAAATAACCGGGTCTATAAAACCATTAGTGGCTTTGACATGACTTTCACGTCATTTTAAAAGTGTGTTGGCATTCCAATTTACAGTTCAATTTTAACTGTCTTTGCATTACAAATCCAATTTTCAAACTGTAGCATCAACTAAAATACAAGAGCGAACATTATGTGTCATACTCGGCTTAACCAAATATAAGTTAGTAAACAGTGTTAAAAACAAACAGCAAAAAGCCAAAAAAAAAAAATCCATTACAATGTGGATTCGAACTCCACAGCGGTATCTGGCAACCAGTCACTTCCTTGGATAAAAGACTGAACCGTGAACTTCGCTGCCTCATCATCCGATAGGCTCGACTTATAACCCGCCCATTTGATCCTATTATCCACGCCCGACCCGGCTCCCGAATTCTTGTATTCCGCGTAGAATATGGTTCTCGCGGGCTCCACGCCCGGAACCCATTCTTTCCAGCCCGCTGGATCCAAGAATGACCCTATATCAGACTGCATAATCACCGTGGTGGAGTACTCCTTCCACGGTCGGCCAAGGTACGTCGGAGCGTTGAGATTGTCAAGAGCAGAGATCGAGGATTTCTGGATGATTATACCCGTGTTCTGGTTAGGATCCTTTTTGCCCTGAGCCGTGATAGTGTTGAATTGATTTGGTAAGGGTTGTCTCGGCTTGATGTTGCAGTTCTGGAAGACGACGGCGGAATTACCGAAGATGAAGTCGATTGTGCCGGTGATATCGCATTCTCGGTAGAATTGACGGTTGGAGTGGGCGTAGAGAGTGTCTTGGAAGCCGTCAAAAGAGCACCTGAAGAACACGGATCGGTCAGAGCCTGAGCGGAACGCCACCGCCTGGTGCTTCGCTGCTCCGGCGGTGTTGATGAATCCTATGTCCTTGGCGATGAATCCCTTTCCCTTGACAGCTGGTTATAAGCAAGTGAGTTTGTCTAGTGGGAGTAAACTAAAGAAGTAAAACTGTTCTTGTCAAGCTAAGTTGAATAATATAAAATCTACTTATTTTAATTCTATTAGACAGTAATATATTAAATATACAAAATTAAGTATCTAATTTTTTCAATTATACCATCAGTCTTGCACGAACATGAACATTTGAGTTGAAATAAAAGATTGGACAGAAAGCAACAAAGCCAAATCATTGGTAAAAATGCAAAACTATTGGATTATAACCCTGTTTCCCCTTTACAATAGTTACTTAAACTTGGCCAAGTTTTCTGCACATTTTTTATGAAATTTTATAATTAGTACAGGATAAGGACATAATCTTTTCAAGTTAATACTGGCATGCTTAATTGACTTTTTTTTTTTATAAGCCGAATATATTAGCAAAGAATAAAATCATTCAAGCAAAAATATGCTTAGATAGTTTATTTTTGAAGCCAAACAACTTTCCAGATAAGATAATAACATATAAAAAGTTCAGACTTCACATAAAATGTTAGGGGCTTATAATTAAGTGTTTTCCAAACATTAAGATAGATGTTACATAAATAAAAATATGTCATGTATGATATTTCATTAAAAAAAATATAAGAAACATAAAAATTACAACCCTGTTTGTCTCCAGAAGAGACCTACCACTTGTTCATACTAATTTTTTGGGCCCGAGACTTTTGCGGTTTACGTGTGACAAGATCATAAGAAAAAGAATAAGCATATCATCTGAAAACAGACATGCACTCATGGGCTCATGGCAGGACGTGAGCCCACCAGGCAACAAGCCGACAACCATATTCCATCAAACATTGTTTTTCATTTGAATCATCATCACCACCATAGATTGCGTTCACTGTTCAGGAAAATATAAAAGTAACAAAACCAAAAGGAGCTACGATGTTTTGAACGCGATTTCACACTGCCAGATCATGTTCACATTATGATCCATCATTTTCACCACATCATGTGGACATGTGGGTTGGCCATACATATGATGTGTCACCGCTTGCTTATAACATTTATCCCGCCAATAAGTAATAACGCCGGTGTTTCCCTTGTCACGTTCTTTCTATCGAACTCGTTCTCTCAACTATATTTTCCATATATTTATTATGTAAAAAAGGCTTAATAAAACATTTTAAGAAAAAACTTCATTAAATTTTATCAATTTTTTAAAATATATATAACAGTAACAATATTTTCAAGCTTAACGCAAATTGCTTTGAACGATTCTATACACTTGTAAAAAGAAAGCTAAAAGTTATATCAA